AAATCGAGAATCCCGCCGTAAACGAGAGCCTCGTTACCGCCGGATTACGCTAATACCTAGGCCGTTATCGAGGTTCGATTTAACGCCAAGGCGCTCGTTATCATAATCCATTTTTCCAGGGTAAGCAGGGATGACTTATGCAACCCGTTACGACCACGACGTTGATTTCCCTCCAGGTTGCCTGATCATTGAGCAAGGAAACTCTCGCCAAACGCGAGAGACCGCGCAAGGTAAATACGCGACGCGGTATCACTCGATCATCTTAATGCTCGCGAACGGCCGCTCTCTACAATAAAGGAGGCCCCTGTAATAAAGGGGGCCCTCAGGGCAGAGGGTACTTTAGAGAATAGCTCCCCGTACGTCGAAACGGCGCGAGCGCGTCGTTATTACCCCTCATTACGGCGCTCTCGAGTTTCCCCCGACTAAGGACTTAATACCATGCTTAATGCTCGCATAATGCCGCTTAACGGATCGGCCAATCCGCCAAAATTAACGCGTGCCCTCATCGACGTCTTTCTATCTTCTTGATCGTTCCACAACACGTGACTACAATCATTAGTACAAAAGATAAAAAATATATATATAAATAAAAACAACGAGGTGCACCGAGAGATAAGTCATTCATTGAACCGAAGAAAATATTTCTTTGGTATTATTCTCTGGTTCAATGAATTGTTTTTTTTTGTTTTCCCCCAGGGTACACTTCCGTGCTTTTCCGCTGTCAAGTGATCCGTGCGTACCGCGAATCGCCGGCAAAGAGGAAGAACACGGAGGATAGACGAGAGGAAGGATTTACGCGCCGAGAACGACGGGGGGCACCCTTTGAGAGAAAAAAAAAAAAATCCACCTGGACGCCTGGCGCACCCCGAGGGGGTCCATGATACCGTAGTATCTATGACGGATCGACGGCGAGAAAAGATGGCACCGACGGTGCTCCGTCATGCCGCACGGCTCGGGACACTTCGCAATTAGTCCCTCCTCCGGGTGGCGACCGGAAGAGAACGGAAGATTAGGCCCTACCCTAAAATTACCACTACTCGCGTTCGCCGAAAATCCGAGGTTTCGCGTTTCCGTTTCACGCTAACCGTGACTTAGCGCCGGAAGAAATTCACGGGGAGCGTTTATTACAACTGATGGACAGCTTTCCATATCTTAGCCATATTAATAATATGATTAAACGGTCCCCGTGAATTCCTCACCGTGAATAATTAAGTAAGGGTCGGGAGGGTTAATCCCGAGGTAGGGAGTATAACCCGAGTATACAGAAGTCAGCGACAAAATTGTTTTCCCCCGTGTCGGGAAACGCCAACCGAGGATTTACGGCCGGTGCGTACGGAGAGAGAGGGCCCTCTCTCTCGTGCAGGCGTGCGCATCCACGGGGGCTTTTTATCTAGCCGGGGAAACGGAGACGTCGAGGAAGCCAACGGGAAACGCCTGGAGAGGTTGGAATACCGGAGACGGACGAAAAACCGCCGTCAATTACGGGCGGCTTAATTGGACCGTCCTTTAGCGGCCTCCTAATTGAAGAGGTCGGATTACGCGTGCACGCAGTAATTGTCGCGTGGCGCGGTCTGCACTGCATTTCCTCGGTTTTCCTTTTTCTTCCCCGCGGCGACGTCTCTACTCGGCGTCGACCTGTCGGTGTCTTCATTTCCCGCGACCTCCTCGATTCTCCCTTTCCTCCAGCTGGAATAGAGAACCGCATTAGGACCTCCGTTAAAGAAACGCGTACACCTCGGCGCGTCCCAGGAGAGGCCACGGAGGATCGGCGTAGCATATCCATGCCCTACGCCGATCGATGACCCCTCCCGTTACGGGTCGGCGATTCAATTCCTCGATCCGCGCAACGTGGTGCAACGCAGCCTAGGCTGCATCTGGCGAGCGGTAAAATATGAGAAAAAAAAAAAAAAACATGAGGATCCTCTCGAGTATCGGTATATCCTCGCGAGTCTAATAAATCCATCCCACCCTTATCAGTCACGGTATACAAGAATATCGTTAATCATAGAGGAAAATCCTTGTCTAGCGCTACCGTCCCGGGTCTCGCGTTTCCTCGCCGATTTTTCAAGATCGCAGAGGCGGATCGAACACGTCGCGTCTCAATCCGATTCCTTCCTCGTGGCGTCGAGATCCATCCTCGCCCGTTGGAGAGATTAATTGCCGGATAATGGGCCCCGGGAACGATCCCGCCGATTTCACTGGGCATCCGTATAACGACTAAATTACAAGGCCTCCATGCGTCCCCGGCATGCGGAGAGCAAAGCTCGAGTGCGTCCAATCCGATCCCCGGAGCTGCCCTCAAATGACAATTGCACTAAGTGCACCATCAAGTGCAACGAGACCCCGGCTCTCGCCCCTCGACGCAGACCGCGACACCGGATTTCTTTAACGGGGACTTTCTACGATTTGCCGTATTTTACTTTCCACGTGCTTTCTAAAGATCGGCCCGCCCTTTCGCGATCCTCGTCCACGTCTACGTCGTCCCCGACGAGGCCTCGCACGCGCCGATCGGCGGAGACCCGGTTTGCGGCTTTCACCGGCGACAATGCGGGAAATTACCGTCATTTACCTCCTAATACTCGTCATTTTCGTATTACCCCACGGCTCGCCGAGGCTGCCATTAAACCCGGCTATGAACTATCATCGGCCTTAATTGGCCGTTTCACCTGGTGGGCTTAAGGATAAGAGCGTCGCGTTAACGCGTCGCGACCCCCCTGCCCTGCGTTAAAACCATAGCGATAAAGTTACGTGAATTTTTTAACCACCCGATCGTGTATATTTAAGCGTTGCGTGACTGGCGATTACGAAAACGGAGACGCGAGAAGAAGAGGCTGCGGATCTCTCCGGGAAGTCAAGGAGAGAGATCCGCTTCTCTGCCGTTTTTCATTCCCCTTTCTTTCCTTATCGATTTGTCGGAGGGGCGAATTATTACGTCCGTAAGTCGAGGAATTAATGACGGAATCCTGGATACCTGTGACGAGGTAATTCCCCATCGTGTTCCCGAGGGTTTGAAGTATGGCGACTTAACGACTCAATCGGTGACTCGTGCATGCGCGTACCATTCAGATAAATTACGCTTAGTCTACAGTTCTTCCTTCGATCGCCGACAAAGAACCTCCCAACAACGTTTCCGCGTTAATGCCGAATCGAGGAAAACGGTCTGCCGTAATTCTCGCGGTCGTAATGGAGATGCATCGTAGGAATTACAGGAGGTACTCGAGACGGGCCTCGGGTCTTCCACGTGCACCAAATGACATCCTCGATTTAATCCTGGGAATATAAAATAAAAGTCACTAAATACCTGGCGAATAAATTCTCCCCGCGTCCCCGACATTAGAGAAGCGAAATCCGCCGTTAACGGGACGTCGAAGGGGGCCGATAAACGTGGAGGACAACCGGAAACGACGTCACGCATTTTTCATGCAAAACGGACCGACCGTACGCACTAAACCTCGCCGAGGACGTAGAGCCTGAATATAAATTCGCGTTTTATATTAATTTCCCAGTCAGCCGCGCGAAATTCAGGTTACGCCTGCGGATTAGAACTTAACTGCGGGAATCCTGGCAACCGAAAGGACCCCTCCGTGTCTCTTCGTACCTCGGATTTTTCCCAACGTTTTCCCCGTTCCCAGTCATTAAGCAGAAACCTGTCCGAGAGGCGCAACTTATTTGCGTGTAGACATCCGTTTAAGAAAGACGAATGGCTTTTGAAATGTCCGCGGAAGAGGGGAAAAAAGAAATAAAGAAGGGAGAAAAAATTCACCGACCAACAAGAAAGCGGCACCCGAAGGTGCGCCTCTTCAGGAAAGTCATCCAGTCATCCTCCCTCCGCCTTTTTATTTTCAGGCCTCGCATGCAGGTCGAGTGCGATTTCCCGTTGCGCTCCGTAATCGTTTTAAAGACGCCTCTTAACGACCCGCTAAACGCGGGAAAACTCGAACCGATCGCAGATACCTCGACTTTTCTCTCCTCCTCTCGCCGAAACCGGAGCCATCCACTCCGAAGAGGGTGTTAAAAAGAAGTCATTAAAGATGTTACCTCGAGAGGACTGACTTCTCCTTTTTTCTTGCGCGATAACGACCCTCCGCCGAGGAGGACTTCTGATAAACCTGACTCGACCCTAAAAGATCCATGATATTAATTACGCGATCGACCGGTCGTCGAAGAGGAAGATATCTATCAAACCCCGCTTGATCCTAGAAAACCCATGAAATTAATTACGCGATCGACTGGTTATCGGCGAGGAAGTGCATATATCATGCCGATCACCTCGTTGAGGCGATCCGGTCGTCGAGAGACCTTCTACGGAGGCGCGAGGTGTATAAGTCATTTCGCACCGTGTCGTAACTTCGCCCGACGACTTTACACCTCGAAGCAAGTCAAAGGATCACCTCGATCATGAACTATCCCGGCGACCGTCTTACGTGACGCCGACCAAGCGGCAAGAACGATCGATGACTTTGCCCCGTCCATTGTTTTCACCGTTTCACGGAGACTGGCCGCGAGGGAAAGTGGCAGCGGTCTCGGAAAGCGAAAGATCCGCAGCCGAAAAGAAAGAGCCCGTCCTGGAGAATCCTGGCCCATCTCTCGACCAGGATATCGAGTCGACCAGCTCGAGGCATCACTCGTTAACGTTTTACGAAGTCGTCGCGCCAGTTGCTGCCTTCCGATTCGGTTTACGGCCCGCCGTTTCCCTCCCGGTAAACACATAAGGATGATTTATGCACTTACGAGCGCAGCATCGCGTTACACTTAGACTCGGTCCAGGATACTTGGAGTAAAGCACTTCCTTGAATACATCGGTGGATATGTATGTGTACGTATATGTGTGTCACATCGGACAGTGTACGATGCCTGTATCTATGTACGCAGGGACCAGCTATCCTTACGGGGCACCAGGCATCGATGCTTGTAGAATTCTCTCCAATAATTAAAAAATATTCATAGAGTCAGTCCAAAATTTCAGGAACAAAGGTATATTACATGAAATAAGAGGTTACCTGTGTTGTCGCCCGACCTGGCCGAGTTGGACTCCTCGATGGGCTGCAACGTACAGCGCGGCATTTTTTCGACGAACGGGGCTCGGAGATGCGCTTGCAAGATGGGCCTCCTCTTGTGCTTCCAAGCCCGCCGATCGAAAAGTGCCGCGAGAGCCTCCTGGTCCATTAAACGAATTCCCGAAAATCCGGATTTGCGACTCCCTTTGTCAAGCTTCACCGAAGACGCCTTCGACTCGCGCAGATGCCGGATCGGAATGTAAAGTTCTGCGTAAATCGTCGAAACTCACGCCGGTCAAAATAGCGCCAAAGTGGACCTAAGGACTTCTCTTATCCGTTGATTATTCCCGTGCTTTGTGTCGAGCTTCATAAATCCATCAACGGGGGTAAACGCACTGTTCACATCGAGGTTATGTTTCGACCCGGCGATCGAGTTTACCGGAGCTCCCCTGAAGGTCGCGATCTCTCGCACATTCCGCGCGATCTTCACAATATTTTCGGGTAACTGGAGTTAGATAATCGCACTTGCGAATTTCAAAGGTTTTCGCCTCTGCGTCACGTCATCTCCGCATAATATCTGCGAAAGCTCGCGGCGTAAACTTTTGCGAAGCGCGCGGGACAGGAAGCTCGGCGGCCATCTTGGATTTTCATCCCGCACTCCGACTTGGATCGAATAATCGAAATAATGTCCTGGATTTACAGATGCCCACGGGTCACTCAGCATTAAATTAAATCAGAAGTCATGAGGTATCGATATTTTGTATGCACACAGATCGAAGTCTCTCATTTCGCGGGTATATTTACCATTAACCGGCGAGGGTGCAGCGCGACTCGCTTCAGGTGCCACTGGACGCGACCTCTTCCCTCACCCCAGAGTTTAATCGATTATTAATTCGATTCGATCGTTGACGCGACTTCCCGCGATTAACCTGTCGATTACTCGATAATTCACCGTAACTAGATACACTCAGGCCCCCGGGACAAGCGTACACGACTTAACACGAGTTAGGCGTGCAGGACCCGAGTGCGAGTGGCTTCAGGCGGAGCTTGCGCGTGTTCCGACACGCTCTTCCTCTCTCTCTCTCTGTCTCCCCAGAAAAGAGGCGGGAAGAGATGCGAGAGCCACGCGTAATGGGAAAAGAGGGGAAAGGAGATATACCTCTACCGAGCGCGATCATCCTCTTGCCTTCTCTCTCGCTCCCGTGACGGAAAAGGGGAAAGAGAAGGAGGCAGAGTGGAGATGAAGACTTCGCTTATCCCTCGCTCCGTCTCTTTCTCTCCTCCCTTCTGGATCAGCGGGAAAGAGAGAGAAAAGAGACGCACGGTCCACGGTACAAAGCAGGATAGTGGGTGGGGGAAGGAGGGGGAAGCGAACCGGAGGAACACTTTCGTTCCGGGCTCCATTATGATTTCGAATCCCCTCTTTTACCCCTTTTTCTTTTGTCCGAGATCGACGAGCGATAGTTAAGCTCGGTACGCACGATGCGCGCGCCGCGCACCGCGGCTGCCACTGTGGAAACTAGAGATCGCCTTTTTTATCTCCTCCAGTTATTTATCTATGCGATTATTCAACCGCATTCGAAGAAACCGAACGATTTCTTCACTCCTCACTGACCATTTCTCTTTTATCCATTCTCTGCGAGCGGAAAACGATGAATGACTCGTTTCAGCAAGGGGATTTAAATTTGGCTCAACGCGCGCGAAAGTTGAAATTCAAAGGGAGTGCCGCGACCCCCCGCCGGATGGCACCACTGGCGCGCCGTTTGAAAAGCACCGTTGCACTATCGCGAAGAAATTGAAGAATTGGGAAGGAATTTTTTTTCTACGAAAGTAAGGGAGATTTTGCTGAAATTGGAGGTAAAGAACGAAAATCGGGGGCAATAGAAATGGACCTGGAGAAAACGAACTGCCAAGGTATGCGAAAATTAGATACGAAAATCCTGGTCCAGCGTTTCTTTGGGGAACCTGACTCGGAAGAGAACGAACCGAGGGACTTGACGAAATGCAACAGCCTTTGCTCCTTCCTTGACGAAACTCAATGCCAAGGTAAATCGAAACCCCATTATCAGGTAAAAATCAGTCAAAAAGTAGGAGCTTCAGGACCCTCGGATGAGCAACGGTCGCCGATCATGACGAGAGACGCAAGGATGAAGCTGAAGAAGCTACCTATCTTCCGGGACGACGTAGCCGTGGAGGAGTACGGGTACAGCGAAGAAATCGCCTATCAAGAAAACCAGGAGCTCACCGAGAACTGCCAGGAGTATCTGAAGAAGTTGTCGATCTCTAGGACAGGGACATGCGACATCCACGTTGCGTCCGACCAGGAGACGGACTCTACGAGGAACCTGGACAACAAGAGGAATCTACAAGTCGAGAAACCGACGTTAACCGACCATGGCCAGCGTTTAAAGGAGCTCGGCATCGACGAGAACGTTTTAATGGTTGACCAGGAGGATCCAACTCTGTTTCAGAGACTCCAGGAGGAACACCTCCCGCTCGACATTGAGGTCTTCAAGCTGGACTTTGAACAAAACCACCAAATGCCGAATTTCACGCCTCCGTCGTCTCACAACGACCAGGGCTCCTCTCCTCGTACCCGGGGAATGGAAACGCCGGAGTTCGTCAGGAACGCGATAATCCAGCACCGTGGAGAGATCACGTTATCCCAGAAGTCCGACAGCAACGAGGACTTTTTCTCGGGGAAGACGTTCTCCTCGGTTAGGATAAGTCCGGTCGCCTCTGATACTGAAATCGACACCTTGCTTTTAGGGCAGGCTGCGTACTCCCCGAGGGACTTGGAGTCCTCCTCGCAACCGTTCCTGGGAACTCAGACCATCCTTGACATTTTGACGCCCCCGCCTGTGGACAAGAGTATTGAGACAGAGTACCTAGGCATCGAGACTTTTCACTTCGACCTGGGAAAGGAGCACCAGGAGTTGGTTTTGTCGACTCCGACTTCCTTTGAACGAACAAACGCCTACCGTGAAATAAGCCCCATTCGCCACACCGAGATGTCGGAACCCGGCATCGCCGAGCAGCGGCTTCCCGTTGGCGGACCTGGACATCCGAGCGAAAGTAGAAGCCCCATTCTCTCGTTCCCGCGTAGAAACTTGGGTGGATTCATGCAAATTACGAGGTCCGATAAGCCCGACTCGGCCATGGCCATGGAGAATTGTTTTACGAGCGCTGATGAGGAACGTTATTCCCAAACGACTGATCTGACCGGGAATTTAAGTCTTTTCGGGCGAACTGTGGATTCTCGAAAAAAACCAGGAAGCCATGAAGACGACTTTGCGAGCGGGGGGAATGTCTTGAAAGCGCGGAGACGTCTGCATTTCGCCACTAAAGACGGAAATACTGGTCCTGCGAGTAGCAATAATTTGGACGTCTTCCGAAAAAACGACGACTTGTTAAGGAACGAGTCTGAAAGAAAGGCAACGCAAGTGATGAGCCAGAATTTAGGAGACGGCAACAGGTCGGAAGGAGGCGCCGACAAAGAACTATTCCTTCAAAGTGGAGCTCCGATTTTTTCCTCGAGCGACAGTCCGATTTTGCATATGTCTATGGATTCTGTAACGTTTTCTAGACCGGAGAAACTCCATCCCGGCGAAGAGAGCTTCGTGGAAGCGAAGGAATCGAATGGCTGGAGAACCAACGGCGTCGACGAGCTGGACGACACCTTGATCAACACCGACGGGATGTACTCTCCTGGGAGTCTTTCAACGAATCTCAGCAAAGCGACCTCAGGTCGGAATCGGGGGGATATCGGCAAGGGCCAGGGTAAGGATCTCGCCGAGGAAGACCTTAACGAAACCCTACCTTTGGTCGAACAGGTCTCAGAGGCCGATAGGGACAAGAGGACGAAGAGTCCTTTGATTAGTAAAGGATATTTCAAGAAGAAAAAAAATCTAGCCGATGGAGTGGTCCAGCCTAACGTCCTCGTGGCTTCTAGCTTGGGTTTTCCTCTTCAGACCATGAGTCCGATCCTGAAGAAAGAAAATTTGGAAGGAGTAATGGCATGTAAAGAAGCATCGAATCGCGACCTGGGAGACTATGTACGCGACGAATTGGTCGGTCGGACCTCCACCCCGATGAAGGGCGGGACCTTCCATTTTCGTCGAAGCTTTCTCCAGGACACGAACGCTGCGCGTTGGCCTTGGGATTGCGGAAACCCGCGCAAAGTCGACTCTGACTGTCGAAATAACGACGTTGATGTTGATCATTTTAGCGAGGATCCGCTGAAACTGTCCTCGAAGAAGCGTCCCGAAGACGCGGCGAAGGGGAGCGCGTCAGTAAAGGATGGTCCAGGCGTTTTTCATCATTTTAGTACACGAGTGGACGGAGAGAAATCTCCCAAAGACTCTGGTGTTCCTAGGGATTGCACGGAAGAGGATACCTTACTCAATACTCAGGATAATCAGAAGACCGAAGAGTGTAATGCTACCTCCACCTCGCCTTCGGAAAATTTCGATAGCGCGTTCGTGGAAAGCCAGGTGAATAAAAATTCACCTGACCCCCTATATAAATCGGACACTAAGGGCGACGGGTACAAAAAAATGAGTGTTATTAAGGAGGGAATAATCAATTATCCTGATAAGCAAAAGGATGATATAAACTCACGTTCGTGCAAACTTGTATCTTTAAAGATGTTGTCGAATTATTGTTCCGAATATGATAAAGCGTATACAAGGCACGATTGTATGCCACTTTCGGGTCTGACATTGAACGAGGAGGGTTTTAAAGATTTAGTCGAACGATGGGCGAAGCCAAAACGGAAGAATGTGCGGAATAAAATTAATAGCCTTCTTTTGTCGTTAAACGACTTATAATATTTTTATGAATACATTTCTTGTGGAGTGTTTTAATATTACGCAGATATTAAAACATGTGGACACTAAAATTATAAGGGAGGTAGTTTGTAAGAATTGGTCAACATGTATACGCCTGTGAGTTCGAACCACTTTATATCATCGCACGGTATCGTTGTACATATGTTGCAATGGAATCCGTGCTTACTTGCAAGTTCACGCTGTGCAATTATTTTCTGTTGTTAAAAACTGGAGACGTACATTTCTCAATGAATAAAGGTATTCGTATAATCGAACGCGACATTATTGAATAACCGCTTCTTTGATCTCGGTGAGATCCAGTCTTCGAGTTGCTTTAAGAAATATTACGTTTTTTATACAATTCATTAAACATGAGTTCTTTTAAACGGATCTTACCATTTGTTAAGGATGTTAACCTTCGACCGGCACATCCTGGACTTCCTATAATAGGAGGTACTTCGTTCTTCTCTGTAGATAGTTTCTGAGAAGTTTTTGTACAATATTTTGATGATTCAGGAAACAGATATGTTTTTTGATTTATCACTTCTTCTTGCCGCCAAACCCAGAAAAGCCCATAATAGCTGCCATTTCATCGGAGGGTCCGGCATCTTCGTCATTGGCTTCCTCGATCTTCCTCTTTCTGTCTTTTCTTTTCTCTTTTCTATACTCTTTAATTTTCTCCTCCTGAAAAGTTTAATATTATACAGAGTGAAAGAAAAAAAGTGGAGTACACCTATCAAAGTTAACGTACCTCTTCCTTCAGTTCTTTCACCCTTTGTTCCAGATCGTAATCCTTTTTCTTCTCTTCCATCTTCTTCTTGTTGACGGCAAACCTGGCTTTAACCTGGTCCAATGTTGAGCGCTCTATTTTCATGGACATGCCCAAGTTACGCTGATCTGAAAACATTATTACAGTTAATAGATCCTAATACAGTGTGCAAAATCTATGTACCAAAAACTTACGTTTTGTCCCATTAATGTGATCCAAGAAGTTAATAGAATCTTTAACGACACAGTCACAGACATTGCAGTAGTACCTAAGAAGGCAAAATAATATCAAATGTTTTCTGTCTATCAAAAATATTGAATTCAATGCTCCACCTTAAAATACATTTTAACAAATCTGTACTCACCCGCCAGTTTGTGACGATGGAGTATTTTTATTAATGACAACGCTTTTGCCCAACTTAGACTCAAGGTCAACTTTATAGTCCCGCTGTTTGAGTAACTCCCTTTTAACGGCAGGTTGTTTGGGAATACCCAACTCTTCCTCTGCGATCTCATCTTGAAGCCGTTGCAGGGCTATCCTCTCATATTCTTCTCTGTTCCATTTTCTCCGATGATCGTCAGGCCGCTATAAAAATAAATCAAAGATTTAGAATGAATAATACACTCCAGACATTTACAAGGCATTAATTGTCAGTGAAATATTTGTAGTAACAGGTTATGTAGATTTGGTACCTAATAATTTCTGTAGCTTATAAATATTGCCATCTAAAAACTAAGTGTTAAAAGTTTCTTAAATTACGTAAAATCATCTACAACTATTTTGATTTTCCTTACCGTCGACATTTTTTAGCGAATTATACACTGTCTGCCTTTAGTAGAAATATTCCCTAAACAATAGTGAAGGTGTCGGCAATTGCATTAGGAATTCAGCATGAATACCAATCTATAACCTGCGCAATAAAATTCCCTGTTTAATAAATATTAACAGCAGAGATGATCTCTGTTGATATTTATACCTTCTCCTAGTATAGATGTCGCTGGACGTCGCGTTCCACTCGAATGCATAAAAGAGACGCTCTGTGTTGCTCTGCTTGCTCTAAGGTCGTCTTTTAAACGGTTGCAACTAGTTTGTATCAGTTGCGATAAGTTGCGACAACAATGGACAATAATTATGAAATGAAAATAGTGAAAACAGTATAAGTTATGGGCAGCCATAACCTCTTCGAATTGTACAGAATGTAAATAGTAGCATGCGAATTATTCAAATTGTTTACTGCAAGAGAGTTGAGTAGAATAAGGTAGAATAACGAAAATCCGTTATTTATTTATTGGAGTATAATTTAATACGAAAAAATGAATGCCGATGAAGATTATAATATAGCGACGAGGTATCGCACAGTTAGAAAACATTTAGACAGCCTGGGTTACAGACAGGCACTCTCGTTTGATGCTCTACCACTGATCGAAAGGTTATTAGCTGATTTACTTCAGACCACGGAGAGTTTAAAACATTTTAAGGCAATTGCTCAAGACAATATCGAGGTACAGTGCTTTATTATATTTTTGACACCATCTATATTTTAGACTTTTAATGTAGTATGCATTTGTCACCTGTTTTTCTGTGACGTTTGACATTCAAATGACCAAAGTACTAAATATAATAATACGTGACCAATTTTTCCGGGACTATGGAATCGCTCCTGATACTTTGTTAAATATTGTTGCTTGTAGGCATGTAGTCAATTACAACGTGTGGTTGATCCTTATAAGTGTGACAATACAAAACTAGTTCAGGAGTGCAATCAACTTCATTTGGATCTCATACAAGCTAAGGATTCGCATCAGAAACAGGTTAGGGAGCTTAAAAGAGAGCTACACAATTTGGAGTCAGAGTATGCCGATTTTCAATTGGGGGCTTCTCGTAACTTATTGAGGATTAAAGAGCTAGAGACTGAATCGTCAAATAAAAGCAAGAAGATATTGGAGCTCCAGGGAAAATACAACAAACCTATCATATGTACCAGTAATATTGATAATTTATTGCTTTATTATTTGCCTAGGTTATGCATTATATCTACAACAAAATATCATTGCAGCTTCTAAGAAACGTGCTTGCTACCCATTGAGAAGACCAGTATTCGAATGCGATAGTCTTCCACAAAAGAAAACCAGTTCTACGTCACTGCCAAGCTTAACCAATGTCGATCCAACTATTGTGGACCTGATGAGCATGGCTGATCACAGGATGAATGTCTTAAATCATGAGGTAACGAAATTAAAAGAGGAACTAGAACTTCAGACTGACGACGTACAAGCATTAAATGCTCAGGTACCACAGACTATTTTTTGCATGCATTATGTGACTTGAATTCTCTGCATGCTGTTGGACCAGGATTTAAAATCATCATCACTTGTATAAAAGTGTAGTTACACACGGCGACCAAATTTATATTTTATAATTTAATATTTTAGTTAACGTCAAAAGAGAAGGAAATTATTCGGCTAAAGAAAATGTTGGAGGGTGGCCGACCATATAGCGCTGTCGTTAAGGATTGTTGCTATAGAAAAGTTGACAAACATTGTTGTGCAGATGGCAATGAGTTGCGACTGTTACAGCAGACCAAACAGGATTTAGAACAACAATTGAAGGGTATGAATATAATTTTCTCAGTAAAGAAAATCTTATTTTGACATAATTGGCTATTTTTTATTTTATTTTACAGAGGCTTTAAATAAATTACACGATGCCATGTCTCAAGCCATGAAATTAGCAGAACGCAATGAAGAATTGGAAAAGGAATTAAAAGACATCGATCACATTGCGTTGGCTGTCGAGGCAGATTGTAACAGCACTGTTAAAGAAAATAACCGAAGAGTAAGCAGATTGCAGGTATCCGTGAAAAACATTTTTGTTTATACTTGTCCAAACATTGTAATTCAGTTCCAATTGTTCAGATACTGATTTCAGGAGAAACTGGAAGACGTCATGACACAGGTCCATATTTTGGAGAATGAGTTAACGGTGGAGCGAAGGGAGGTACAAGAACTAAGGGCTGATCTCGAGGCAAGCAAACTCGAAAAACGAAACATACAGCGAGTCTTAGAATCGACACTGGATGAAAAGAAACAAATGACTGATCGTATTAATCGACTGACAGTTGTCGGTAAGTATTGAAATATTTTCCAATCATATTTTTTGGCATTTATCGAGACACGGTATTCCAGAGAAAAATTTAAACGACGAAATAGAAAGACTGACCAAAGAGAATGAGTATCACAAACAGGAGATTATCCACTTGGAAAATTCAAAAATTCTATTAGAGGAAGCTAAGGGTACGCAAGAACACTCAAAAGCGAAGGAATTAGCAGCTAGCGATAACTCGAAAAAACTTAAAGGGAAGGGAGAGAAAGATGACAAAAATAAAGGAAAGAACGGTCGCAAGAAAAAATCGGGTACACTAGAGTCCCAATGAGCAAGTTATATCATATCAATTTGTACCATTTCGCATTATTCCTTTCTCGTTCATTTTTTTTTTTACAATCTAACAGTGCTGCAGGATAAAATTTTCTAATTTACATTGAAAAATAACAGAGTGCGCCGACATTTAAAAAAAACGCATAGAATTGGATTTTCATTTTACAGAGTATTTGTACAAGAGTAATAATTTTTAATAATAAATTTACAGCATCAAAAGGTCGACAGCCATCGCTATCGCCTCTCGTACAGGAAGACAACAATAAACAAAAGGAGTACATTGAAACCGCAAAAGAAAACGAGGTTACAAGGGATACGAATACTGACTACGCCATTAATGACATCCACAGAATCATCGATGAGAAGGAGGCATTGATATCATCGGTGAGTTAAACTTTTCCCCAAAATTCCCTGACGGACCCACAATTTCACTAAAAATTTTCCAATGCTTTCAGTTGAAGCACACAATAGAGAGAATAGAGACTGAGAAGGACTACTACAGAAACGAGTATAACAAATTCAGAGAGCAGTTCAACAAAGAAAAGGACAACGTAAGAGAAAGTAACGATAGGAATATTCAATACCCCAAGTAATACTTTATCCAATCTTCAATTCAAATCAGGCCGACTTGTGGGCTCAGACCTGTGAGTTGAAACGTCAGTTAAACGAACAAGAGCACACGGTTTACGAGCTGCAGCGGGAGAAGAAGGAGCTATGCCGCGAAAAGTGCAACTTGGAGGCGAAACTTAAATCCCAGTCAAGAAGGACCTGCATGTCCTGCGCTCCTTCCAGTCCGTGCAGACATGGGTCGTGTTCCTGTCCCTCGCCTTTGCCACCGAATGGAGAGTCCGTTGTACCAAAAGTAGGCTCTCCTGAGTTATTGATAATTTCTATGTAAACTATTACCTAAATTCTTGAACGGTAACGTTGCATTTAGGCGACCATGGAATGTCTGGAACGGGAACGAGACGCAGCCAGGGCCGACGTAGAGCGACTGGCGGAGGAGCGCGATGCCTTGCGTGAAAGACTTAAGGTAAAACTGCAAGGTACTAATCTAATCTGCACATCTCTGATAGCTAGTTATACCTAATATTAAACCCCTAATTCCTTGTTGGTCCACGCTCCTGGGTTACGGTGTCGCATGTCGAACGAATGATATTAAATATACCTCGGTAGTATCCTTTATATCGTGTACTTAGACTAATACTCGTCACCTTATTAATTCACCTTTTCCTTTCCACGACTCACTGCGAACAAACTTGAGGATACGTCGTGATTTTTTATATATTTCTTTATCCGGCAATCGGTCGCGTAGATGACAGTGGAAACGCATTCTTGCGAGACCCGACGACTCAAGGAAAGCCTGGAGGACGCAGAAAATCGGTTGAAGCACTTTGAGAGGGAAAGGCAGGACCTTTTGCATACACAGGGCACTCGACGTGCCACGATAAGCGGTCTCGAAGACCAGCTGGAAGATGCCAGGGAGGAGTTGAGGAAAACCAAGCAGGAACTCGCTGCGCAGCGCACTCAATACTTCCAATTGAGGTGCATAATCTTCCTCGTGATAATTATATTATCACCCTGTAGACTCGATCGCTTTATCCGTGATTCCTTTCAGGGCGTTGCAAGATCAAACGGATCAGGCCCTAGGAGACGTGCAGGGTCAATTAAGTCAATCGGAGACAGAATTGAACAAGGCTCTCGATCGCAATAGAAGCATGGAACAGCATCAGATCCACCTCGACAACCAAGTTATGGAGCTCAAGCAGGAGATCGCTAACCTTCGCACCACCATAACCCACCTGGACCATGAAAAGGATCAGTTGCTGGTAAAAAGGAAAAAAAAAAAACGCACAAGCAGCATCGAGAAGTAGAAGGCGAAGCTAAGTGAAATTGATATCTTTGACAGATGGCCCTGGACGAGAAGACGGAGAGGATAGCCAATCTGGAAAGAGAGGTCAGGTCGAAGGAACAGCAGGCCAGCGAGGTGCAGCAGCAGATTCGAGACTGGGAGCACAAGTATCAGTGAGTATTAAATATGGTTTATGTACAGGAGTCTCTACTTATTTACAAGAGGCTCTACTTATTTACAAGACCTAGACGAGAACGGCGACGGGGAATAAATAGCACAAGGATAAAGTAAATGACGAGTGTCCTAGAGGGACGCGTCCGGTAGGCACTCGGCGTTTCCCTTGGAAAACTTAACAAGAAAAAAAAAAAATCGGATCATCGTCGCTCAATGTCCAGAATGATCCGAGACGATACAGGATCCTGGGGAGGCAGGATAAATCAGAAGTTCACCGACTTCACCCTGTCGTTGAGGAACTTGGCGAGGCTGACGGCGGGTGGTTGGCATCTCCCCGCGGAGACGAGATCGTTGCTTTCGACTTCAGGAACCTCGGAGCTTTCCGGGATCCTTTTGTACCCCGGTCTGCACTCACACCTGGCCCTGGCTAACGATTTCGTCTCTTCGTCCTGCCAGAGGACGCCTTTGGGTATTCTTCGAGGAATCAGCCACTCTCCCTCGGTGCAAGGACCGCGGGTGTAGAGCCGATAGCAGGTCCCGTTGATCGCGGTCATTCCGGGGATGTTCTCGCAGTCCCTGGCCTCGTCCTCCGAGCAGGCTCCGGACTTCTTCAAGGCATTGGTGCACCCGCAGACCCCGTTGTAACTGATTCCGTCCAGGGATGGTCTCACTTTGTAGTCGTACAACACGACCTGCCCGTTCGGACAGGGTCCTTTTGAGCCTATCCTGTAGCAGGTCTTCTCCTGGGGGAAGTAGAGCCTTCCACGTTTACAGGGGACGGGCACGCAAGTCGTGGAGTCGATCAGCATGTCCCCGTTGTCGCAGGGTCCTCTAGTGTGCACTCTGTAACACAGTCCATCCTTGTAGAGCACGTGGTCGGGCTTGCAGACGCATGTACCTCGGACGGAGTCCTCCTGATCCCTGACTTCGTCCGTCACCACGAAGTGGTGACCCGGGAGGCAGGGCCCGATACCTCCTGGTTACCGAAAAATAGACATTAATTATTTATTAAACAATTACAGCACTATGACTCGAACTATCGCACCCTGGCTCACCCAGTTGGTAGCACATTTTCGTGGCCGCGTGGAAGTGCGGCAGACCCCCGTGGCAGCCGCAGATCCCGCCAGGAAGGAAGAGTTCTCCAGGCTCCGAGCAGGGTCCCTTGGTGTAGTGCTCGTGGCATCCCCCGTCACCTCCTGGCCAGTGGTATCTGCCGAGTTCGCCCTCGGTCGAGCAGGAACACTCGGCCAGGCCGTCACCCCCGACGACGATCAACTCCCCTCTGGGGCAGGGACCCCTCGTCAGCTTCGGATAACACTTTCCATCCCTGGGCCAGAATACCTCGCTCGCTTCGGGACAGGGTTCGGGTTCTCTGCAGACTCCCCATCTTCTCCTGGAGCTGAAAGATCGGATAGATTCATAAAATATTTTCCTAGGGGATGAGTAATTCGGTTCGCGATTTTTACCTCGACTTTCCGGGGAGCTCCGGCACCGGGGCGAAGTACTGACCCTCGGGGCAGGACGCCCTGGTGAAGATGGAGTGGCAGAGCGCGTCCCTCGGGGACTGGGCCGTTCCTGGGGGACACCTACACTCCGCCACTGTTCCGCCCCCTCCTGCGGCTGGTCCCAGTTCCATGGTCTCAGGACAGGGCGCTCCGATCTGAAAAACCAGGTTTTCCGTGCGATTAGAATAATTAATCTCCTCCGTTCCTGACCAGTGATCTCTCTGTCCTTGTTCCAGGGCTCTTTCGATTTCTATGCGCTTCCAAATACTCACCTGGAATATCTTGTAGCACTTTCCGTCGTCTGGCCAGAAAAGGAGCTGCCAGCCGCGCGGCTGGGCGGCGCAAGGATTGCTCGACGGATCCGCCCAGGGCGGGGGGACTATGGCACTCCTGGCGGAGATTATCGCGACCAGGTGGAACACGATCTTCAGGATATCTCGAGCCATCGCGTCCCGGGCTGGGAAAAATTCAAGGATTTAATCTCCTCGTCCTCCACGCTATCGTCTACTTCTTCTTCGACTCCGGGAGACCACCTCCGGGGTGGAGGCGCTTCTCTCCTCGGCCCGGCCAGTTTCCGACTTTCATTCTCTTCTGGTGACGCTAATTATATTATTCTCTTTTTTTTTTTTTTTTATAGAGGAGAGATCACGATTTGTATGGCTCCTGTGAACGGCCACGATAGCACGCTCGACCAAGTACCGCAATTACCGGGACGCGTCCCCATCTCGCCGTGGAGTGACTATGACTGAACGAGCGGCCTGTCCATTCCAGGTGGTTTGCGAATGTCGTGCGTGTATTACACGCCTTGCATGCGAGAGATTAGGCCTCTCGAAAAGACAAGACAAGCAAAGGGGATTCCGCTCTACGGGCCGCCAAGCCGCGACATACTGGCCAGACATAAAAATGCCCATACTTTCACTGTTTCACTATGGCAATGGCATTGTCCCTGGACTGGACGGCCACGAGGACGTGAATACGAATGCCCGGTAGTCCCCTCGTTCGAAAGGAAAGAGGAGCACGTCGTGGAATTTGGCGAACCCTGAGAGAGAAGCTCCACGGACGTGGACTCGCTCCACCCACGTATATATAGATGTATATATATATATTTTTTTCTCTTTTTCTTTTCTTTTTTATTATCAATTCCCGGCAACGCAGGGGACACGAGGCCTTGCCCAAGGCTCCGAAGGTCGAGTGAAAGTAGACGCGTTCCGTTTTGAAGGAGGAAAAGGGAATCCGAGAAGCTACCTCCGCCGGAATTGCGCATCTCTCGGAATATCCGAGATACTCGGGGAATGCGAACTCGGAACCGGTACCACCAGGGTCGCCTTCCTTCGAGGATGGTTATCCGGATGTATGTAAATGTTAGAAATATTTGTCCTGGATTTTCTTCCTCTTCGGGGGAAGAGGGAGAGAAAAACTCGAGGGTACCGCGCTGGGAAAAGGATAGGGATCCTTTTACCCGCGACGACACGTAGGTGTCCGTTTACCCTGGTCTTGTGTCCCCTCTACGGGTCGTCCGGGACGTCAGGTCGACCTCGGTTATTCGATCCCCGGACTTGCAGGATACGCCGAGGAAAGTGCAAGTGCCGGGGAATTTCCCGGGCAGTGATAAGCAAGACCCTCCCAGCCGCGACTAATTGCATCCACGTAATTAAACGCGCGGACTCGGTGTACGAGTGCGTAGGGAAAGAAAGCGAGAGTGGTTTCGTCCGATTATTACTTTTCTCCCCTCCGAGTATTATTTTTTTTTTTTTTACTCTCCTCTCTCGGCGGAGAAGAAGCTCGATCTCGCTTGCGCAATTCGCTAATTGCGAGTTACCGTGCGAGCGAGTTACGTCAGGACTTTCTCCCCTGGGTTTTCGGACTGACGGGGAAAAAAAGAAAATGGAAATGGGGACGGGAAAAATCCTCCGGCGAATTTTTCTTTGCGACACATCCGAGACACCCGGTGCAGGGTCTCGTGAAAATCGATACGAGAGCCTTTTTGTTTATTTCATTTCCGATTTTTCTGGTCGACTCGAGAGTCGCCCTCGTGGCCATGGGAACTTGGTAGCAACAATCACGAATCATGACTCTTTACTCGGCCCGAAATTGTTGGTGTCGGCACGGTATGTGCCCTGCATTGTTCTCGATACACTTTAGAAGAGGTTCTGGGGACCAATCCGCGGATTAAGGGATACCTCGTCGACGTCGAGGAGGAATTATTTCCACGGAGATATGGAATCCTGCTATCCGGTGTGTCCTTACTGCTGTCTGCCTTGCGGCGATGACATTCGATATAGGTAGGACTTCGAGGCCGACGTTTGGTCGATTTCGTGTCCACTTTCAGACCGTACCTCGGTCTCTGCTACCCTGGCAATTTGTCCATTCGGGCCTTTCCTACAGAAGCCGCGTTACAAAAATTATTGACGAATCCTGGCCGAGTTGCGCAAGGAGAGCTCCGTTTAGAAACCCGATGGGTCCTCGATGACGAGGACGGTAAATCGTCCGGAAGAAAGTGGGCTCGAATTTATGCCCGTCCGGGTTCACGTAACGCGCCTTTTGCCACGATTTAGCATAAAATTAGCCGGATCGACCAGCTGATCGCCGGCTGGGAGAAGAAACGTGGACGAGGGATTTCTTACCCGGGTTTTCTGCCGCCGATTGACCCCGAGAAAGTCAGGCAAAACTGCGAGGTGACTTGCCTCTTCAGACACGCATTTCCTCCACTGACACCGATCACTCTGCACGCGTGTTTAATTTTTCCTTTTTTTTTTAATCTCGATTCGTTAAGGGTAGTCACTCCCGGGTCCGGGAGTTCGCTCGCTCGGTGCGACTCCCTTTAATATTATTTAATAAATTTCCAATTTTATTCTCGCGCGCACTTTTCATCTTCCCCACGAGGATGCCACGGCAGGACCATTGATTCGTCGCCTCCCCTGGTGGGAATGAATTTATTTCCGGCGGATGGGGAATTTTTTTAATTATTAGGGGGCTTCGGGGAACAGGGTGGAGAGAGTGGAGTCGCGCGGATTGATTGTCCTTTTTATTTCGATGGTTAATTGGTATCGTTTTTCAGGTTCAGGTGGATTTCCTTTGAGATTCGAATATCTCCCCGGGTGGAGGGAACAGCCGGGGAGAGACACTCCTGGAGGGGTCTCGCCGAGTCGAGAGTCGCGGAAGGACTGACCGTCGAGTGCGACCGCTCCGAGCTTGTATACCGTTACCTAACTCCTGGGGACTTCTGAAACCGAAACCGAAACCGAGCTGCTCGTCCTCGAGGTCGTTCTCGAACTACCCGAAGAAATGCCGGCCACTGCGAGAGATTCCTTGAATTTTTTCCATCCGCTTTGCGGAGGCGAATTCGTTACTCTACGCCTTGGCCTGACAACTCCTCCCTCGTCTTCCCAGCCCTACGTAGAAAATCCAGAGTTTCTTGGCCCCTTCGGAGTTCCGGCAGTAACAGTCCCGATGTAACCCGTTATGTCACTCCTGGGAAGGTTTAGGGAGCACATCCGGTAACGGGGACCTCGGCATACTTTTCCTTTGATGTCGGGACCGAGACGTTGCTCCATCGGGCTGCCCGTTGCCTCATCGATCGGAGACGGGCCTGGGACACTAAACTGCACCTTTCGAAAATACTCGCCTATTATTCTCCACCTACCTACATAAATCTATACAAATGTCAGTACATGGGAAATTAATTGCCTCATCGATCGGAGACGGGCCTGGGACGCTAAACTGCAACTTTCAAAAATACTCCCCTATTGTCCTCCACCTACCTACATAAATCTATACAAATGCCAGTACATGGGAAATTAATTTCCCTCCCGGTTGAAAATAATTTTCGACGTACTTTGGATTAATTTCCTCATACGTGGCTAATTCTCTCTTAAATTGAAATTCATTCTCTATGGATTTCTGCAACTCTCCTCGCAGCGATGGCCTCGCGGCTCTTGTGATAGCGTATTAATAATGGGGTTATCGCGACCAGCTGAGCTTCTCTTCTGTTCTTTTTCTTTCCCTGGTGGTCCGTGACGATATGGGCGATCGTTTGAGAGCGTTTTTGGTCCTCGGGTGGTACCGAGTAGCTCCAGGAAACCCGGAGACCCTTGAATAACGGGACGCGTTGAGAGATCCTCCTTTCCTGGTCGAAGGAGGGTCTTCTGTCATCTCGGAGGCATCCGAGACCGACAGGAGATCCAGAAGGGGAATAATAACGAGAGGATCCAGGGACTCTAGGGCGATGCACTCTGAGTCACCGTTCTCTCCGAGCCGGGACTCTCCTTTGATCTTTTGTCGATTCCTGTCCCCCCTGATAAGCTAACATTTCTTTTTAAACACTTGGACACATGGGAATCTAGGAAATCCACCCAGTCGTCGCCTGGGGCAGGAATAAAATTATATCAATCATGATAAATCGCCCAGGAGGACAATCCTCCGTTTAAAGGACTGATTAGATTTCTTCAGGGATTTTCTTTTTTTTTTTAATTGTGAAACCGAGGAGGAATTAATCTAAGAATACTAAACGTCACTCGCACGTGCTACTCGACTCCTGAGAGTGGAAGAAAGGGCCTCGACACGTGAGGGATTTATAAAATCGGTTTTTGGAAATCCACCTACGTGAGGGGACTCGTGAGTTGGGCTCTTCCTTGGGCTTGAAAAACTCCATGTACGGGTTTTAGAAAAATATCCCTTGCTGGGCAGAATATCGGTTGAATTTTAGAGAAATGGAAAAAGGACGGTCGGTGTCCAGGCAACCTCTCGGAGATGTAAGAGAAGGAAGTGCTCGGTTATTATGCTTGGAAACAGTACGTGAAAGAAGCCATCAGCAGGTGTATGAGCAGGCAATAAAGGAGCAACTAACCGGTGAACTTCTTCTTCGGGTCATCTCGGTACCGGCGAGGAAACCTGGGTTTTATTAACTAGAGAGTACTTCCGCGGTCGCAGTTGCGACTATTCGCAGGCTGTTCAGTTTTCCCGGGGACTTTCGATTGCCTTTTCACGCCAGACGTAAGGAATATTTTCCTGGATTAAAAGGATAAGAGGAAAAAAATATACGGAGCTCGTTTCCCCGGATTATTGATGTCGATTGCGTGTCAGGGACTGACAGTCCATCGACACGTGTCCAATTTTTCCAGAACGACTTATAAGTACTCGCCGAGCAGGAAGGAAATTCTCTCGCCTCTCTTTTCCCCGGAAACGCAGGAAATACCCGACAAGGATATGCTCGTTTCCGATTTTTCCATCGGGACCGTGATTGTCCCTCCCCTTCGAGAAAAATGCTAATCAGCACTTCTATCATCAATTCCCTAGCCTGGTTCCTTTAGGAACGCTCGTTATCACATCCCCGGATTTTGGGAAATTATGGAAAATCATTTTCTTGGGTCCGGTGAGAAATGAATTATTCTTTTTTTCTTCCTTTTTTTAACCCATTCTGATTACGTAAATTCAGAGCTAGGTGAGGGTTTCACTTTCGCACCGGTTGGGATCGGCGTCGAGGCGATCACGTCTCGGGATGCTGGGAGCAGCTCTCGCACCTTAGGGAGAGTGAAAGTCGAAAGACTTCGTCTTATAACGGGAGGGAGTATAGCGAGTCCGGTGGAAACGGTCCCCAGGATCGTTCATTACGATCGACCGGTTGCATTACGCAATGCCGAGCGTAATCGGCTCTTCTCGTAGCCGTGGTGCGCGCTCGTGGATGACCGTCGCCAACGATAAATCCCTCCGATAAATCCCCCCGATAAAACGGAGGAAGCTTTCCTGCATTTTATCTGGAAGTGCACTCAAGCTTCCGGGTTCCCCGGGGTGGCGAACGCCTGGACCTTAACTAGGCTCCATAAGAGAGAAACTGAAAGATCAATCGGACATCGATAACGTCCAGGATGGTCTCTAATAATTTTTTTAAATATTTTTTGGTGGCGAACGCCTGGACCTTAACGAGGCTCCATAAGAGAGAAACTGAAATATCAAACGGACATCGATAACGTCCTGGATGGTCTCTAATAATTTTTTTTTTCTATTTTTTTACGCCATTCCTCAGTCTCGAGGAATGAAATGCAGGACTCCTGGAGTTTCCTCGTTCAGTAGGTCGCCTCTCAGATCCTGGAGTCCGGAATGCACGACTCGGGTGAAGGGTAACGTCACGTTTCGATTTTTAATCGAACCTTCCCCGGAATCGTGACGTTGGGCAACTATCGGAATAACCGTGCGCTAATCGTCGCGATTCGCCCTTGTCCCGTTTGAAAATGGCCATGGGCTTGCGCAAGGAGAGATGAGTGCGTGGTGTGCATGAGTTCCCTCTTGGGCAACTATTAGCACGTGGCTGAAATTCGTATAATGGGTTTAATGTAACGAGTCGGTGTCTAATTTAGGTTGTGCGTGGACCAAAGTGCCGAACAGGAGCGTCAGCTCCGGTCCATGCAGCTCGACATGGAGAACCTTCAGCGACAGCTGACATCGGCGAACCTGGACCGAGAAAACGCGATCCAGGAGAACAGGAGACTCCAAGACGACCTGGCGGCGGTGACCTGCGAGGTGAGGAACCTGCAGCGAGAGCTGGAGACCTCGAGGGCCGAGTCCTACGACCTGAAGAGGCAGCTGCAGACCTACGTCGGCGAGGTCCGCCGAGCCGAGGAGCTTATCAACAGGAAGGTACGCCGATAGGGAAGGAAAACAGGGTAAAGGGGACTGATCCTGGCCTCTTCCCCAGGAGAACGAGAGGACCGAGATGCTGAATCACTTCAGGAGCCTCAGCCTGGAAGCCACGGTCCTGGAGAACAATAATCACAGCTTAGAGTCCGAGGCTGCGGAAGCGAGAGGAGCTCTTCAGTCCGCCAGGGACAGAATTATGGACATGGAGAGGCAGCTCGCCGACAGGGATTGCCTAATCAGGGGCTACGAGACCCAGGTATCGACCCTGAAGACGCTCGAGCAGAGAACCTCTGTAGAAGAGGCGGATAATTTATGTGGACGTAGATTGTATACTCCGGAGAGGTCGGATTAAGTTCGGGATTAGCATAGGAAACCAACAAGGAATTAGATCGATATGCCTGCAAGCCTGCACCGAGAGGTGCAGCCTCCTGGGTGCTTCGGGTCTTGATGCCTCGTTTTTTAATCTACAGATTACAGAACTCACGCAAAGCGTGGCCAGCATGGAGACGCAGTTGCGGCAACAATCCGAACAAAGGCAGCGAACGGAGGCGGACTTGAACGCCGTGAGAGATCTCTGCGTCCAGCTGGACCAGCAGAAGGAGAACCTCCTCCAGCAGATGGGCGATAAGGACACCATCAAGGCGCAGGTATGACTGGTCTTGCCTAGATAGAAAGTGGAATGGAGCATCTAAGGGCTCGTTGCATTTTTAGTACGAGGCGGAGCTGGCCAGACTCAAAGTGGAGCACACCATGATCCAGGACCAGATGGGTAGGGACCACGTAACCGTGGAACGGTTGGAGACTCTTCTGGGACAGGCCAGACAGGAGTCCATCAATTGTCAGGCCACCAACCAGGAACTCCAGAGCGAGATGTCCAGGCTGAAGCAAAAGATCTCGGAGCTTCAGGCGCAACTGTAAAATTGAGATTTATTGCGAGCGGTCTTACCTTGGATTGGGATTTCTTCGGTTAAAGGGTCCTCGTGGATTTTCCAGGACCTCGGAGTCGGCGGAATTGAGGAGGTACCAGAATCAGGCTGCGGAGTACAGCAAGCAGATCAACGATCTGCGGAGGCAGGTCACCAACGAGAGATTCGACAGGGCTAGGCTGGAAGAGGAGAATCGAAGGTAACGCGAGATTGGGAGATTTCAATGCCGGGTGATCCTGTCGGAAGCTGTCCAACCTCGATGGATGGCTCGTTAACCTCGCGATTAGAGGTTGTCGGGATTCTTGCTCCTCGTTATTCTCTCTTACGATGCAGACCCTCTCAAGCGTGCTCCCCGAGTAGCTTTTCGTCCTCGCCTTATGCCCGAGGTCCTGGGCAGAGTCCTTCCTCGTCGTCCCGTCCAGATTCTAGGTTCCCTCGCGACTGGAGCACTCCGGTGGGATCCAGGTAGCCTATCCTCCTCGCTGAAAGATCGAATCCGTGAAAAATTGCCCAGAAAATAATCCTCCAAGGCCTGGTCTTTGATATGCCTATCAAGGGTCCTTCATAATTTCGGAAATGAAAAATCGGCCAGGGTTCGGATATTTTCTGCGCGATTTCCTGTACCCTCCAACAGCGTAGTCGCGCGTTTTTCACCGTTTTCATGGCAGATCGAAGCGTTAGAAGAAGCGAGCTAACTGCGGTAATGATTCGAAAACTGCCAGGCAAGCGGACTCGCTGAAGAAGACGTTCCACGCGGTCCAAAAGCCCGGTCGAGACTCCGAGGACCTGCTGTCTCCAGAAAGAGGAACGTCCTCGATCCCCGCCTCCCGATGCAACCGATTCCCCATGAAAATGTCGCCCGTCCTTCCGTATCCATTTCCAACTCCGTCCACAAGGAACGACTCTTGCTGCGAATCTAACAGATCCTTGACTTCACCCTGAAGAGTCCCCTTTGATGCCCACGTCCGTTTTCGTACTCGTCCTTAGCGTACTCGGTGCCTCGTTCTTTTTAGAGACATTTATCCCTCGTCTATTGTAAACCCTTGAGATGGTCTTTTTCCTGTAAAATATAAACTCGCGAGAACAACGAACACCGGGGAGATTCAATTCTAGAAATAAGTATGGAGTTTTAATTGTCTAATTATTTTATCATTTATTAAGACACGGGGTACAGCCGCGGAGGTATCTCCAGGTGTTGTCCGACTCCTCGAGATCTAACTAACGCGGGTCCTTCCGATTTTCTTCTGTTTTCAGGTCGCTCAACTCAACGCCGGACAGTTTTAACGTAGACTTAAATGTAGTGATTTAAGAGAGTAATTTAAAATGGCTCGATTGGTTGATGTAGAGATCCTGAGAGAGGCGAAGAGACCGGCAGCGATCCTGAAGTAAAGAAGTCTCGGAGGACGAAGGACCTCGAGGAGGGAGAATGCCGCAACGCCTGCAAGTGCCAGGACTCCGGCAGGATTCCCAAAATCGGCGGGGGAAAAGACGATGACGTGCCTTGCATTAGTATTATATTGCAGCCGGACGTGCTCGTGAAGTCCTGTCGCAGGGAGGTCCAGGGTGGCCCGAGTGCCTCGGGATTTTATGGACCTCCAGGAGATTCTAAACGTCCTGGGTTTCCTGCAGGGACTGGCACCTTCCACGGTCGAGCGAGCAAAGAAGCTGCCGGGACGAACGCCAAGGGAATTATCGAGGATGCTTCCCCTGATAACGAATCTAGAAAATCGGCAGAAAAGAACTCATCGACCAGTAAGCAAACCGTAAGTCGCAGCCTCGAAGTAGCTCCCCTTGCCAGTGAAATTAATTCTGCTTTGAAGCGCCCCGAGGAGTCGAGGGCCCCCCGAGAAATCGCGGAGACCGTGGAGGTTTCGGCAGAAAGGATGGAAGATGAAAAAAAGTCCTCGGAGCAAAAGAAGGTGAAAGAAAAGCAGGGAAGTGGAGTCAAGGATGCTGGCCTCCTGGTTTTGAATGCATCGGAAGAGACGAGAGCTGACGAGGCCTCTTGTGTCGATGAAGGAGTGCAAGTCACCACGGAGGGAAACTCGATAATTAAAACCGAAAGGAAAGACGCTGCATCGCGAGGAAACTGCCTCTCGGAAAGGATCCACGAGACCATTCGTAAGTTGCAGGTAGATTTGGAGTGCACTTGCTTCAAGTTCCGGAACTACAAGCCACCGGATTCGAAGCACCACTCCAGAGATCTTGTGATACACGAGGGGATCACACCTTCTGGTTGCAGCACCTCGGAGGCACCTGTGGATGGTGGTACACCTGGAAAATTGGATAAATCCATAAATTGTACTAATTCTTTACACCGTAGTGATAATATTAAGGCAGCATCTAATGAGACCTCGACCGATGGATGCTGTCCTGATGACACATTGGATTTGCTGCGGAGAGCCATCGAAGCTCAAGGGGCCCTTCCGGGTGGAACAAGTGGCATTCAGGGGAAGTCTTTGAGGAAAACGGATAACGAGGAATTATTACAAGTGAGTTTCAAGGAGATCAATGGAAGCCAGAACGCTGCGTCTCCACCTGAGAGCATTCGTAGCAGACCGGAGAAGATGACAGTCTGCGACTTCACCAGACCAGAGTTTGTGAAGATGTTGACCGAGATCAAGGAACACACCGAAAACCTGGAGAAGCAATTGGCAGCAATGAACTGCAGCATAAGGAGCAGAAGAGAAGCTCTGAGTTTGGGGAAGGCGAGGATAAGTAGAGGTTCGGTCAAGGGGATGGGGAGTTACTGTTTTCTGCAGTCCAGGGAGCAGAGGTCTGTCGAAGGAAGAGCCAGCTGTGGCACGGCATCGTCACCATCTGTTAATTTTCAAGGTTCGACCCATAGTAGAAGCACTGTGCAAGTGAGTGGCTATTATCCAAGTGATGTTAGAAGGGAGCCAATTGCAGCTTCAACCCCGAAGAGAATTTTTACAAGCTCCGATAAGAAAATTACCCGAACTTCGAGTTGCACTCAGACAGCTTCTTGTTCAAGGATGCCATACAAAAGTGTTAAGATCTCTGAATGGGAGAATACGACAAATCCTAGTAACATCAAAGTAGTGCCAAGAAGTAGCATGAAGTGTTTTGGGCAATCCTCTCGCACCGATGCCCGAAAGAAGTGTCCAACTTCCAGTGCAATGCGAGCTGGATCGAGAAGCAGTTTGAAAAGTTCTGGAACGTGTTTCTGTTTTGATGAGCATACCTCGAGAAATAAAGAAATTCATTCTCATAATGCTTCATCCAGTCAATGCGAAGCCTCTACTTCTCGATCCAGTCCCAACAGATGTTCACTAAGAACGAAAAGCCCAGCACCATTGAAGCGGTTAACAGTTAAGTCTGGTATGTTAGCTGATGTCTGTACTCAATTGTCAATGCCTTGTGTAGACGTTTCTACGTCATATTCTTCAACAAAGTACAGATCGCTACCTGTTTCAAAAGGTCCTTCCCTGTCTGCAAAACCTGGCAAGTTACCGAGTATCATAAGCTCCAGGGTTAAATCATCCAGAAACTCCAGGATCGACCGATCAGTGTCTACGATAGGATATGGACTGCAGCAAACTTGTCATCACAAAACTATTCAAAGAGACTCCTATTCTATGAGGAAAGTAACTCCAATGGCAAGAATTAGAAGAACCCTTCAATCTTCGTGCCTTAGGAGTCCCTCGAGTAATAAAAAATTTAGATTTATTCGAGACACTGGGAGAGTAGTTTGTGCAGTAGACTCCTGTACACAGACATTAATAGTTAAGAAAGTAAAAATATCTCCAGAAAAAATAGGACAGCAGAGATTCCCAAATAAATTAGAATACTCTCAAGCTATGATTCAAACGTGCCCTAGGAATGAGCAGCATTCTCCCTCACGGGTAGCATTAAAAGGTACAAAGACATGCATTTATTCCGTTCCCAATGTAAAACAGAATCTAGCACTTTTCAAATCAAGCCAACAATCAGGTCTCGACTTGCCAAAGGAATTTTATTGTAAGAGTCGAGGGACTCTTTGTTACAAGAATAATTTTAGAAGAAACACCGAAGAAAGAGCCACATCAACAGACAAATCCAAATCGATTAGCCGAGACAAAAGTTTGCAACAAGTAATAACTAAGAATAATTTTTTAAACAACTCTGCTTCCAACATGAACTCCGGAAATAAAGGAACAATCCTCGTCACCGTCGACCTGGATCCTACACCATCCAGTGAAAGTATCAGTAAGAGACACATAGAACCCTAAAACTAAGTCATAAATATTAATTTTATACAAATCTAAATTTATACATTTCCTTTTTCAATCATATTGCAATAAAAACTCTTTTTGCAAACCACTTGGTGCTCGTGAGAACAAATGTCTGATGTAAAGTTGAGTTACGAAGTTCATTTGCATCGAGTAGACATAGGTACTGTTTATTGCAATAGTTTTGCACTTATATAGTTCTACATATGTTTATAAGCATCAGCCCCAATGAATCAATGATCATCATCGAAATGTTTAGGAGCATCTGGATATTGTTTATCGAAGAATTCAATGTACTCTTTCTTGCGCTTCTCACGAAGAGCGAAATACTTAGGGTACATAGCCTTTTCTATAGGATGCCAGTAGTCAAGGATCCAATCCGGTAGTATGACTTCGCGATCATAGGCTATGCCACCAGGAGAATTTGGAAACTGTATCGGCAAGTAGTGCTGGTACTTGAAAAGCTCCTCTTCCCCAGATATTAACATATCCTTAGCCACTCTTATATCTTTTATGTTTGCACTCTTGTCAAAACGGTCTCTGAGTAAGACGGCATGGTATCTAAGTAAAAGAACAGGAAAGTCATACATGTGTATACTTTGTATACTCGGTAAGAATTGAAAGGACAACGTTGGACAAGACTTTCTAACTCCAATTATTCTTCTGTGATTATTTTATCATATACCTGAAGTCGTGTCTTATGGGAAAATGACACCTCAGCATGCGCACTGCTCTTTTATACAGAGAACATACTTTTTGTGAATGACTGCGAATACCAATCGGTATTTGTGCCATCGTTTAATTGTTAAATAATATTTAAATCCTCTCGATATATTAATGCAGCATCTTACAATTTTCGTTCTTCTGAACAAATTACATCACCGGACAGTCGAACCACTCTAAAATTTTAATTTATTTCTGCTGCAACCCTGATTTGGCCCTGTTTCTATGTAAACGAAAATTCACTAGTAATAACTAGACGACTGTAGCAGAAAACGGAACACAGCTTGTAGGTTAAGTTGATGGAGAGAAACAGAGAAAGAACGACATACACGGCAACACCGACAGCATAACCTCACTATCTGTTTTCCCGTGAACAGGCATTCGAAGGTTTTATGCAAAAGATTATGAGAAGCTTTGAGGGTTTATTATTTATTGGAATTAATTTACTTGACGCAACATGTAAACAATGAAAAGTCATTCATTGATCGTTCTCATATTGTTTAGGGCACTTCCTCTTTAAACGATTGTTTTCATTCTCCGCCCAATTCATGAAGAACGCCGTGAAGATGAATGCTGAAGAAATATATTGTTCTTATTTTAAATAGTAATTAGAATTAATACATAAATCATTAGTGTACATACGCGGTGCTACCATGGGCAGATTATATGCCCCTCGTTTGATAATTCCTATTATAGATTCCAAAGCATTCGGCCAAGTCACCTGCTCGTAAGGTGAGAGAGTATACATCAGAATACGACGAATTCGAATTGGTAATTCTCCAAAGCTATGACCCATGTTATCGCCAATTCTCGATAGATCAATTTTATGAAACAAAGCTTTATTAGATTTCAATTGAATGAACGCTGATTTCTGGAGTCTCTTGTTTTTAACAAGAACTCAGCAGTGTTTGCTTGATCATGCACGAAACTTAAACGTACTTAGTGTTTACATGCACACCTTCTAGTAATCAAAACATTTTAGTATTTATAAACTTGCATACATTATAAACCATTTTTTATTATATAACTACTTTGGATACAAACTTATTACTTCTAATCGGTGAATTCTGCAGCACAGTATTGTGGAAAACATTTTTCTACTTCTGGTGGTATTAAAAATTTATCAGGGTTTTGTTCCAGAAGACAACCAAGCACACGTGGTACCGACAGTACCATTCCAGATATAATTAGAGGAAACTTATTTCCTTTAGGTGCCTGATACCCAATAAGCAAACGTTTGCTTAAGAAATCACCATACGTTGAAATATGTCCCACTTCAATGTATTCTCCAGAGAATTGTGACCACATTTCAAAGGAGATACGTAAACTTTCCCACGAGCGCAGTTCTGCAGCCGATCTCTTTACAATTCTGTAATGACTACAAATATTTCTGTATAATTTTTTAACCGTTTGAAGAAGATCTTCAAGTTCTATTTCTGCATCTTCGGCATCTTTGACCATGATGAAAGCGTGTGCTACGGATGACTGACAAATGGTAAACAAACCATTAAGCGGCGTATCTTCAAGAACAGGCTTGTACTCCCTTCCAGTAGCAAAGTGTTTTACTGGAAATAGTGAAGGACGTGATAATTGTTTTGTGTATAAAGCTAGAATAGAAATAAGGGTTGCACTTCCAACTAAATGCATATGATCTGATATTTTAACTGAGTCATCCTGAAGGATAAAAGTATCAGTAGGATTTTCATAATCAAGGCCTGAGCCTTCGACTAAGCGACTGTGACTGAAATCCATTCCTGCCACTCGTGTCATGTCCATTTCTTTAAAGAGTCGACCTGCTAGTTCCAAGACTCCTAATTCAAAGAAAGCTGCATTGTCAAGTAAATAGTATTCTATAGGACTTCTGTAATCTAATAACCCTAAGGACGTTCCAATTTGTACGTGACTTTTTCTATGTTCTCGGGGTATCTCTTGTAAGACTCCAATAATATCCATTATTTTCGATGACTCAGCAGGTGTCCTAGGATCTAACTCATTTGGTAATTTGAAAGCCGGTATTATAGAATTTTCTTCATACTCAAATATAACATCTCTAATATCCTTTAGATCCTTCTTAACAAGTTTCCCCTGTTCTTGAAGCTCGAGTAACTCTTTCTCTTCCTCGGCAGTACGTTTTGCTTTCTGATGCAAATCTTTTGATCGATCTGCTATCTGAACTCTTTTCTCCTCTAAAATCTGTTTCTTTCCAAGGACACATTTATAGGATTCCCAAGCTTCCTTTAATGAGACTACGTCAATGTCCACATTGCGCAACAACATTTCTTTTTTCAACCTATCGAGATCATTAAACCTCTTATCGAAGTCCAATTTTGGTGATAAGAAAGAATAACTTTCATGGCCCTTTTTATCCGGAATAAACAAAGCAGAACCGTACGTCCGTGTCAAACTTAATCTCGATGTCTGTAGAAAATACTGATTCAGTCTCTGACAGCTGCATCTCCCAACAACCCCCAGAATTCGAAAAGCGACAATGTTCATTTTAACAATGTTTAATAATCCACTTGTTTCATTTATCCATTTTAGTGACTTTTGCTGCTGGAGACATGTCCAAATCAGAGTCCAACGGATTAGAATCTTCAATCGGTTGAGTTATAATTTTTCTTTTCCTAGGTTCGACGTAGCTGCCCTTGCCTGCAGCTCTTTCAGACTCCTCGACGCTGTAAGGCTCTAGTTCTAGAGCCTTCAATCTCCTCTTGTGAACCTTTGTAGTAAAATGATCCTGCAGTGCTCGACGATCTATAAAGTATCGCCTAAAGAAAGGATTCTTTTTAATTATTACCAGAGATCTAAAATCTTTCATTGGATAATTTTTTAGAACGTATTCTTACGCGCAATGTAAGCAGTAGTGTTGAGCAGCTCCAGGTCTGTCTAAATCTATTTTCTGATGCAGCAATTTTTTTGCGTTCTCGTCTTTTAAATCTTCATCAATCTGTCAATAGGAAATACAGAAAAGGATAATACAGACTCAAAACCGGGGAAGATAGAAATGAAAAGCCACGGAAACATTCAGAAGTCAAGAAGTGCGCCATGTTGCCCGACCCACGTGGTCAACCGCGCAAGCGAATCGTAAAGGTTAGAATTTCCGCTAACCTCGTCGAGATCCTTGCCTCGTCTTTTAGTCTTCCAACCCTTTTTGAGGTGAGTGTCTCCCCTGTGATACTTCTTCCGTTTATAAACCATAACTGATCCGTCCTGTTAAATTTAATCAAAGGAACCGTGCAAAAACTGACAACCGACATATGACATCCATTGATAGCAGGGTTGGTTAGAAAGATACCCTAGGGAATTTACATCACAAGTTTCATCCCCTAGGTAAATTCCTTGAAAACGAGACTTTAGTTTGCGGTGAGTACTACATGTCATACATGTTCGGTAATCACATTGATCTCATACTTTACTGGTTTTCTACGTTTCATTACTTAATTAATATAACATACGTCGAGAAACTTCGAGTAGCGCGTGAATACGCACCTCTGGTGACAGTCTTATCGGATACGTACAAAAATATACGTTGCCACCACTCACGACGAAAGTCACCCGAAACGGCAAAGCGAACCCTCGTAAAAAATCTTCCAATCTCGCCCGAACGTTTTCCTCAATATAAATAACAGTAACCAGGGCCCAGGATTTTTCAATTCTTATTTATTTCCAAATTATTACGAATAAAATCGCCGGGTCGTAAAAGGGACCGAGGATGACGTCATTGGCTAGCCTGCGGACCATCGGCCATTCCGCGGAGCGCTTTCCGAGCGAAAGGATCAGCGCGGGAGGCGAGGAGAGAAGGTGGCCAACAAACCACGGGGGTTTTTCGTGCCGCGAAGAGCGCGACCTCTCTTTCCCACTCGTGGCAGGGATCGGGCAAATAGAGACGGAGCGAGTCTCTCGGTGGGCAGAGTGGGGGACCCGCATGAGGCAGGCCCACGGGGAGGCCGAGGGTTCCGCCGGTCTCGCGCGTTCGCTGATCCTCCGCGTCCGGCCCCGAGTCTCCCTCGCCGCGTTCGCCGCAGTCGAGACGGCCGTTTCGCGCGGTAAATCGGGGTCGTGTGCTCGCGAGAGGTTAAATTCTCGGAGCGTCTCGGCCGACCCACCGTCGTTCGCGCATAGGGGGGAGCCCAACCTCCCCGTCTGTCTCTCTCCGCGTCCGGGCGCAGACCTAACCTCTCTTGCGAAGTCCGTCAACTCCAGGCGAGTGCGGCTCGGCGGGTCCGGCCTGTCCGGCTCGGTTGGCCGCGGCCGGTCGGTGCGCGGTCGGTTCCGGCGGGCGCCGCGAGATGGCGGCGCCGGCGGCCGGGTCGGGTGGCGCCCCTGGCGTGGAGCTGGGTCGAAATTCAAACATCTGCCGCTGCACGGCCCATCCATTTTGAAAGTAAAAATACTGCATGACCCGGGACTTCTCGCGCGGTGTTTCCTGGCGGTTGAAAAGGCCTGGGCGACGTCTTTGGCGGGCAGCGGTGGCCGCGTAAGATGACGTAGTGGTGGCCGGCTGCGTCTCGGTGCGCGTTGCGCTCGACGGGGGGCGTGAACGGAGTGCGCGTCGCGCGTCCCTCTGGGCCGCGGACGGGAAATAGGTTGGTAGAGAGCGAGGCGCTTCTAGAGGCCGATGGATGCCAGGCCGAGGCTCGGGACGCCATTTTGATATACGGTCGCACGTCAAGAGGCAGAGGTACCTCGCGGCCGCGACCGAGGGTCGGAGTTACGCGCCGTGCCGAGTCGTGCTGCGCGGTCTGCGCTCGGCGGTGCGCCCGCGGTGACGCGTTAAGGTTAACTCGGCCGGAGGTGAGGTTAACCGCGCTCGCCTCGCCTCGCCTCGCCGCGCCGCGCCTCGCGGAGAGTGCCTCTAACCCCGCCGGAAAGAGGAGACCGGAGTGACAGGTGAATCGATCGGACGTGCCCCGAGCGCGACGCGCGACCTCGGCGCCCGGCCGACGAGAGTCCGACCGAGAGACGTCGCCAGGATCCGGAACCGTCGAGGGACGCCCAGCGTCCCGACGACGGGCCCACCGGGACGAGTCCGGCAGGGTCCGCCAGGGTCCAAGAGACGCCACTGGACAGCTGGGAACGTAGCCTGCAGGTACGGCACGGACAGGGCCAGGTCTTCGGAGCTGTCCGAGGACCTTCCCCGAGGGTAAGCCGGGGCACCGAGTCCTCCTACTGAATCGGCGTCGGTTCTCCAGGTGATACGAATCGAGCCTGGAACCTGGCACGAGAAGAACCGGCGTATGGACGTCCCAGAGGTCGAGCGCCACGCAAGAAGGAAACCGGGTTCTCGTGGCATCGAGGAACACGGGCCGATGACTTAACCCTGGATACAGGGAGGAGCAAGGAAAGGCGTGGAAAGTTCCAGAGAAGAAAGTTAGGGACTTTGTGAACTCGTTTCCTGATGTCGGGGATGGAGCGCGACCTTGGGTCGCATCCAAGTCGGAGCCCCAACGTGGAGAGGCGTAAATGTTCTCCCGGAAGCTAAACCCATGCGAGCCTCCTGCCCTGTGCCCTGCGAACTCACAGCCGGAGAGACCCTCGACTAGTGCGCCTTCGCTCGGGCTCTTCGTCTCCCTCTGGCCCGAAACATGGCCAAGATCCTGAACAAGGACCCCGTCACCTACGAGCGGGAACGAGAGACCTTCCTCAAGGAGCTGCACCACTTCCACGAAACCAGGGGGTAAGCATCGTTACCGGGAGAAAGGAACCAAACCCTGGCCATTCGTTCTTAGCTTTTCTTCGTACTCTGCCTCCTTGCGTATTTGTTTTCCCAAAGTCTCCGGCTCAACTCATCCCTGGTTGCCTCGATAAGTTATGCCTGCGATCCCCTGGAGTCGTTAACTCCAGCGGTTCGCAGGCTGACTCCACGGGAGGTAGTTCGACGTCAGGGCGAGAAGGCCCTGCGTTAAAGGAGGATGAAGGAGGAAAAGAGACAAGGGAAGAGTCGAGCCAAAGAGCCGCGACTCGCCTAACCTCGTGGCGATCGCGTGGGAGTCGGAGAGCGCGCTATTTGTTTACACACCTTCGCCGCGCAGGCTTTGAGCTCGCCGAGGACGAGTCCTTGCCCGGAAGCGGCCCTATTCGACCTCTTTGACTTCCCCGGGGTGCACGATAAATTTTATCGGATACGGTTTCCGGGTTCCTACGCTTTTTACGCGCCAGGGAGAAATTACAAGCCCGAGGCCGATAAGCTCCAGCTCGAGTTCGCGTGGAGGTTCCTCGGGTCTCGCCGGATATCCAGGACGACGTTCCTCATAGTCCTGGCGCACGATCCGCGAGAATTGAAAGGATCCTTGTCCCGGTGGCTGATAAGGATTAATCGTTATTAATTTAGCGAACGCTCCACGACTCCTTCCAAGCTCCTCTCTCGTGTAAACCGTGGAAGCGTTTCGTTGGGAAGCTTTTAATAAACAGTCGGATAAATATCGCGCGCCCATACGTCTCCGTTCCCGGTGAGTGGTGGATCGCGGAAAGAGTCGGGTTGCGTTTCGCGCCAAGCGCACGTACCGCGGGTCTCGCTACCCAAACGCTCGGCTCCCTCTGGCTCGTCTAAACACGCGATCGCCTCGATTATTGTTATACCTCCTTCCTCCCCGTCCTCGGGGATAGACTCGCGACCGGCACGGGGAAAACGCACCTCGAGGCTTCGGGGAATCCGTCGTCTCGGATGACCCCCGTCGGCCATTGTTTCGCGCGAGTGCCTTAGATTAAACTCGCCGTGTCGCCTTTACCCCCGGTAAACGTTAAGTACTCGTCCAGGGCGGGATCTCCGGGTCTCGGGTTGTTGAACGAGACTCGCGGATCTCCACGTCGAGAGACCTCCAGGTTTCCTCGATGAGCGCGCGGGTAATCGGGTCGCGTACATTATATAATAGCGATTAATTTCCCATATTGCACGATCGTTACATGGAGAATATCGATATCTTCCAGGACGCCGTTCAGGAAGCCCCCGAAGGTCGGCGGCAAGGAGGTGGACCTCTACCTGCTATACGTACTCGTCACCGCCCATGGAGGATGGATCAAGGTAAGAGGCGACTTTCCGGATACAACGGGAGCGTCTCGAATCCGGCAGGTGGATTTAAAGGGGAGGCGCGACCAGGAGGAACCCCCGCCTTCTACCCTGGGGAAAAAAAAAAAAAAAATCTCATCTAACCAGAGAAACATTTCTTCGAGGAGGATCAAAGGCGACATTTAGCCGATACAGGAAATAATTATCCGACTCGAATGAAATCCTGCGGATCTAATTGCTACCGCGTTTTCTGAAATCGGGTCAACTTATTCGATCTAAATAATTATCCTTTGAATTAAGAGATATGTTTCTTCGGCTCGGTGAATTTCTTGTCCCTCGCGACGACCCCCCGCAGACGCGCTAGTCCCCGGGGGTCATCCCGCCGGAGGCGCCGGGCGCCGACTTCGCGGGGGGCGGGGGCGCCTTGGAGAGGCGTCGGCTAATTAGTCGTCGGTTTTATTTTATTTCTCCCCGCGTCCCGCCTAGTCTTCCCGTCTCTCTCTCCCTCTCTTTCTCTCTCTCTCTTTCGGTCGCAGCCACGATGGGGAAATGCCGAAGCGCGGCGCTCTATCGATCGGCGCTCGTATTTCTCGGCCCGACGGGGGATCCGCGGCTCGCGATACACGGCCGGAACCGCGACGGAGGGCCGACGGTGACGGATGGACCGGCGACCCCCCTCTCGGGGAGCGGGAGCGGCGTCGATCCTCCCGGGTCGACGCGCCGCGGCCGAATGGCCCGTCGACGCCTCCGCGGGCCCTCTCTTATCGGGGTCGCGCGGGCGACCACGTGCTCTCTCTCGCTCTACGCGCCGCGGCGCGACGCCGCCTCCGAGCCCCCGGTCGCCGCTCGGCGATCGAGGGGCGCCGATACCGTAGGGGCAGGGGGGAAGGGGTGACCTCATCGTCACCGCGCGACGCCGCTCGGAGGAGGGGACACGGGTTACTAACCTCTCGGCGAAAACGTACGCGGCGCCCTGGGACGGTGCGCGCGGTCTCTTTCGGAGGTGCCGGAAGGTACTCTCTTCGTGACGTCGCTCGGGGTGGACTCGGGAGACTAACCCCCGGTCACTGTACGTGGTGGATATACGTATTAATGTCCCGTGGCGCGTATTAGACCATGTACATAGGGCCGGATGCATGCCTCGCGACGCCGTCCACGGGGGTCGCGGTTTTTCGGCCGCGGGGGGAAGGGGGGACCAGGAAGTGGCGCAAGGTCAGGGTCGCGCGCGGGGTCGGGGAGGCGGTCGACGCGAAACGGGTGGGGGGTTAGACCAGAAGGCGCCGAGGAGGAGGGGGCAGGAGTAGACGAAGGCTTCCCCTCAACAAGTGCGATCGGGCACGAGGCTCGCGGCCTATATAGCCGAGGAGCGACGCCGGCCGACGCTCAGAACGCGACGACTGCCGCGAGGTACGCCGCGACGTCTCCGCGACCCTCGACCGTCCGGAGATACATCCCGGGACGGACTCGGAGCCGGAGTTTACACCCAGAGCCGAGGGACCCTCGCCTTGGCACGCCTTCGCTTTCCGGCTGTAATTTCGAGCCGCGTCGGGAGCGCCGCGACGCGCCCGGGGGCGAGGGGCCGAGGAGGCGCTCGACATTCGAGTCACGACGCCGGGTCGGGGGGCAGGGGTCCCCGTCGCTCGTCGATCGGTATTCCGAGAGTGGGCCCTACCTCGACACGGGGATATGACTTATCTCCGTTTATTTATTTATTTTTTTTTTATTTATTTATTTATTTCCCTCGCGGTTAATCTTCGGTCCTAACCTCCGGTCGATCGAGAACGAGGCCGGGGAATTGAGAGCCCCTGTTCGTGCGACGAAATTCCCCCGAAGATCGACGGTCTCTCCTCGGCCGATCGCAACCTTCGCGGCTTCTTTCGCCCGGCCCGGCTCCGATCCGGCCTTCGTATCGGGCCCGATCGGTTTTTCTCCGGTTTTCGAACGAGAGCCGGGACCCGCCTCTACCGGGCGACGGGAGTTCCGCGTGATCGCGCCCTCGTCGCCCGGGCGAGAGAGAGGGCCGGAGGGGGACCATTAAGTCCGGCCATTGTGCGGAGTTCGTCGGACCCGAGTCTAGTCGCGTCTCCGTCTGGCAATCGAGGCGGCGCTCGCTCCGTCTCTCTCCCTCTCTCTCTCCGGCCACCCGCATGCCCCGGAGTTCCACGTTTCCGACGATCCACGGCTCCGGACTGGTCCCTGGGAACTGGCCGCCGATTATTCCGCGTCTCGACGGTTAAAATCGTAACGCCGTAATATCGTAATACGGCAATATCGCAATTTCTCATTTTCGCAATATCGCAATTTCGCAATCTCGCAATCTCGAATTTTGGGAGGCTCCTTAGGAAGCTAGGACATGAGCTTTCCCGCCAGGGACGCGTCGATCGCGAAAGTGGAACTCGGTGCCGGCGGACGGTTCCAAGGCCGCCCTCTCGGGGTCGGCGCGCATCGTCGGCCTTGGGGGGCGCCCGGCGACGCCGGCGTCTGGACCGGGTCTGCCGGCGCCGCGCCCCGGAGCCGGCGAATCAGGTGGTCGCGGCCGAGATCGCGCACCCCTCGGCGCCCTGGTTCCCGGCGGAACGGGGACCGGGACGCGCCGGAGTCCCCCCCCCTGGCGGGTCGCCGGTCGATACGGCAACGCCGCGCCGCCGCGAGCCCGGCCAAACCGACGGCCGGGGAGAACCGGCAACGCCGCCACGCGTTGCCGCTCTCTCGCGCGCGTCCCGGCTTAAGGCGCGTTTCACCCGAGACGTACGACGCTCGTTTCTCGGTACGCCGAGCCCTCGGGGACGGAACGACGGCCCCTCGGAGATGACCCCGACGATGGAGGGATTGGGTTTCCGCCCGTCCGTCCGGATTTCGATTTTTGCCCTCCGAGGTCGGGGAGGAACGGCAGACCCCCGGCGAGGCCGAGCCGGGCTTTAGCTCCGCGCCGTAAACCTGGCGCGACAGTCCGAGGAGGCAACGTACGACCTCTCCGTGCGATAAACGCGGATACGCGTGCTCGCGCTCCCCCTCCGCGGGTCAAGCTCCGAAATGATCTCCGATTAATTTGAGACCTCGTATACCCATGTATCCTCCATCCCCTGATTACGAATATGGCGGGGAGTATCGGCGCAATATGTTATCTCAGGGTGAAAATTGGCAGTAACTCCGGAACCGATGGGAGTGGTCCTTGACGGTGGAAAAAAAAAATTTTTTTTTTCAGGACCTCCCGGAAACTGGAAAATGTTAAAAATGATATATCATCCCCCTCCCCTTGCTGACTCGCGGAACGGATGAAATCTCGCGCCGGGATGGTACCAGGGCGAGGAAAGAAAAAAAAAAATTGAGCGGGGCGAAAGGAGCCCAGGCATTCCGGTGCTCCCGGATTTCGTCGATCGGCCGAAGCCGAGCGGAACCGAGCGCGGGCCGGTCGAGCCTCTCTAGAGGGACCGTCGTTACCGGGAACCGATTTCCCCCGAATATATATACATACATATATATATGTATATCACGGTCGCTCGTGGAATACAAGGGGCCCCGTTGTGTCTCCGAGAGGTCCCAGGCTCTTCCTCTGCGGCGCCCTCTTGACGTCTCGTGGTATTCTCGCGATCGTTTTTTTTTTCTTTTCTTTTTTTTTTATTTCGTCGCCCTCGACTCTATCTCTCCCCTAGGTCTTTCACGGTTTATCGTATATTTGCGATAGTTTCTCGTATCGTTCTCCTTATCCGTGCCCGACAGTACGGCGAGGTCGACGAACGACTTCGATCGGTCGAAAATCCCGAATGGCGGGCGATTCGAAAAGCGCGCCGGTCCCCGATGAGTCAAGGTCCGCGCGGCCTTTGTCTCGCGGTGGCGCGGCCCTTATCCCCCCGCGGAGATTCCGCGCGGTTCGCCCGCCGCCCCGTCGTGGATCCGGGAACGAAGGAGGGCGATTAAAGAGCGCGGAAGTGGGTTGCGACCCCTGGAGAAGTTAGGCGGGATCGGGGAAAAATTGCGGAGGGGATTTATGGTTAGGTTAGGTGGACCGAGAGGACGACGCGAGCGAGTTTCGATCGATCGTAGGGAGATATATCGAGGAACCTGGGGAGAGCTGGGGGAAATGTGGAACTCCGCGATCGCGGGGAGACCGGGAGCACCGGCCGTTGGCCGCAGCCTCGCGCCCCTCTCCTCTTTCTCTCTATCTCTTTCTCTGTCTATCCTTCTCTCTTTCTCTCTCCATCCGCATGCAACTCTTCCGCGAGGGGCTCGGTGGCTCTAACCTGTATACGGGGCGCGCGGGCGCGGCGTTGCCGCGTCGATACGCGAGTGCGCGCGCACGGTCGTCGGACGGGTCGCCGCACGCGGGGGCGAGAGAGAGAGAGAGGGAGCGGCGCCGACGAGTCGGCAACGCCGCAGCGGCGCCGTATACCCGCGGGACGGACAGAGCGAGGCGGCGACGCACCGTTACTCGGGTGAGAGAGCGAGAGAGGCTCTCCGTGCGCCGGCGAATTATCGAGTGCCAGGGCGTGTTCGCGGCGATGTTGCCCGACGCCGACGCCGCCGATGGCCGAGACGCTCCTTCGATCTCCCTTCTTGTTCGCCTCCCTTTATTAATGCGTCTTAATTGGCTTTGGCTCCGCCATTTAGCGGGCAATTCGGCGCGAAAGCTCGACTCGCTTTCCCGGGTGCGCGCGCGGGTAGCGCGGGGAAAGGGGCGGGGCTCGCGGGCCGAGGGGTATATAAGGGCGTCGCGCGCGGACCGCCTCGGAGAGCGTGGGCGCCCGCGGGGCAGGGCGGACGCCCGCTGCGCGTTCATGGCCGCGCGCACCTCCGCGGCCGTGTTTGGCGGGTTTTTATCGGGGACTGTCTGGTTATTTTAACCCGACACGCGGAGCCGGCCGGGAGAGCCACTTTGCCCGCTGTTAAAGGCCTCCTTCGGCTTCGCGGAACGCACGCGCTCGAGTGGAGCTGTGCCTCTCTTTCTCCGCCTCCTCGACCTCCCCTCGACGTCTCACTTTTTCCTCCGTCCCTCGCGGTCTTTCTCTCCCTGCCGGACGGAAAACTGCTAATGTGGCCGCTTCTCGAGGTCGTCTTATCGATAAACGGTAATTCGACTCGAGGTAGAGGGAGAGGTCTCGGACGGAGATAAGCTGCCCTCGAAAGGAAAGTCGGGACCGGGCGATCACCCGACCTCTCTTCTTTGTCCTTTGTACTGTGAGAGACAGAGAGCAAAATTATTCTAGATTTTTTTTTTACCCCGTGTCCGAAATCACCGCACGCGGTTTCCTCGGTCGATCGGTTATCGATCTCGACGATCGATGCCGACGATTCTCTGCGATCCGCGGCGTTCCCTTATCCGGACGAGCCGGGGGGAGACGGCGGCTTCGCGGATCTATTCCTGGATCCGTGGCGCCGCGGGTGCGCGCGCACCCGGCCGAAATATAATCCCGCGGCGAGATCGCGCCGGGTTTATCGGCCGGCGGATCGCCGCCGCTCTCGGGCCGAACTCTCTTTCTCTCCGCTCGGGGACCGGTCGGGTCGACCTGTTTCCGGACCGGTCCCGCGTGACGCAGGGCCCTTTGAAATTCGGGCTCCTGTCGCTGTTGCACCTTGACGAAGGACTCCGGGATGCCCCGTTGGACCTGATCGCGCGCCGTCAATTTACCGCGTTACATCGAATTATCTCGGTACATAGAATATCACGTAACGTCAAATTATCGCCTTAAGTCGAATCATCTCGCTACGTCGAATCGTCCGCGGTATATCGAATGATCGCGCCACGTCGAGTAGTCGCGCTTCTCCCCGCGTCTTCGCGCCCGTCCGTCCGTACCGCGGGCGCATGCGCGAGGCCGCGCGTGCGAGGGCCGTCCACGCGTGGAGGCGCGTCCACGTGCTCGCCGCTCCGGCCGGCGCCTCCGCGGGAGCACGTGGCGGCTGTCAAAAACCTCCCGGCGCCACGTGGTCTCGCGCGATCGCGACGGGGAGGGGGGGGCGTCGCGACGGGTCGATCGACGCACTCTGTCGCGATCCGCGGCCGATCTCGGGTCGCCGCGGCCGCCCTGACGCGCGTCCCTGCCGCCCCCTCCCTTCTGACATCTCTATCTTCCCCTTCCCTCCGCGCCCCTCTTCGCTATGCATCGCGAGACCGGCACGACGGCCGACCCCTCCCTCCCTACGTCTCTCTTCCGCGCCCTCGCGTACACGAGACTCCGGGCTCATTCAGCGACTCGCAGCCAGTCGGTCACCGACGGCGGCGCCGGCCGATCAGCTGATCTCTCTCTCTCTCTCTCTCCTCGACGGCAGACTGCGCGACGCCAACCCTCTCGGCTCTCTCTCCCCCCACCCCGCGGTCGAGCCCACGGACGATCAGCTGACTGCGAGCCGTCGGACGCGCCGTGGGGCCCTCGGACCACGTGGCCCGACCGGGCGCGCTCATGCGCCGGGAACTCCCTCCCTGGGGAGCCGACCTCCCCCTGGAGGGGAAAAAAAAATTCAGGCACCGATAATTAACGTCGACAGGGGTTGTGGAGGCCTTTTGAAGGATTTCCTCGAGAGCGGGGAATTTTTGTACGGAGAGCTGCGGCAGAAACTCCCGCGAGGAAAGGTAGGGGCGATAATTGAACCTCCAGACAATGGGAGGCGGTGATTACGGAGGAAACTGTACGTGACGCGGGAATTACCCGGAGCGGAACGTCGATCGCCGGTATGGGAAGCTGTCGACCGGGTTTCGGGGCGTTTATTCACTCCTGACGCGGAAGCGATGCGTTTTTTCGGGCGAGGTTGCGTCTAACCTAACCTCTATTCGAGCCTGCCGAAAGCGGGCCGATACGAGTGTCTCGTCGCTCCGGCGATTCCCTTTTGAGCCGCGGCTTGACGCGCCGAATGGAGTGGGGGGAGAGCGACGGTGCATCCGCACGGCGAGGGGAGAGGGACCGTGACCTGCCTCAACGAGCACGTGACACCGAAGACCGGTACCTTCTAACTCGTATCGACCACGTGCCCGGGAGTCGCGGGCGCGCGCGCCCACGAGGACGCCCAATCAGGGGACGAGCTCCGTCCGACCCCACGAGGAACGGTCGCGTATCTCCCCGCGATGATAAGAAGGTGTACCTGACGATACATCTGTTTCCCTAATTTCGATGACGGCGGGTGGATGAACTTTTGGTTCTACCGGAAAGGGGGAAGAAGGAATATGTGGATCGTTTAGGGAAAACACATATGGATGATGTGGGAAAATGGAAAACGCGGACAATGAGAGAGATCGAGGTCGATGCCGGGAACGATTTCCCGTGTTAACGGATGCGAGGTCGAGGAGACGGGGCCTTTCTCGATTTTTTTTTTTCCTTTTTTCTTTTCGCGCATCCTCTTGTACTTTCTAGCGCGCGTGGCGAACGTTCCGGCGGGATCCGCCGGGTGGCGCCACCGGGCGCGCTCTCGCGTGCGTCGCCGCGCCGAGAATAGAGAGGGCACCGACCCGACATCCTCGAGCGCCGATTCGGCGCCCCAGGTCGGGGGGGGCCCTTCGAGGTGGCCGCCGACACGTATATTTAGCCCGCGCCCGAACGGGGACCGCTGCTCGTGGGCGTAGCGAAGCGGAGTCTCTCCCTCTTTCTCCGCGATTAATTTTCGCCCGCGATTCTCCTCCCCGCTCCTTCCGGCCGGAGGGAAACGGACGCTCGGTTTATTCGACGTTACCCGAGCGAGCCGGGAGGCGGGCCGCGAAAAAAAAAAAAAAACCGGGACCCGGGAGGCCCGTTGGAAATACCGAGACCCCCTCCTCGAATCGCTCGGCCAGGTTCACCTATCGAATTAACGGGGTCTATCTCGATTTCAGGTAAACTCGAGGAACGAGTGGACGATCCTCTGCGAGCAATTCCACCTGCCGAAGGACTGCGTCAACAGCGGGGTCGGCCTCAAGCAGATCTACCTCCGGTGAGTGTCGCGGTTCGGTCGCCCTTAACCCCTTAACTTGTGCGCCCGAGTTAATTCGAGCGCGCTAAACAGGCCAAACTGTGCACCCTCGAATATAGTCGAGAATTTTATTTTTTTTTCCCAAGACAGTGTTCTAGAATTTTTTTTAGATTAAAAAAAATTGATTTTTTTTTGCCCGGTTTTTTTTCTAGAAATCTGTGCGTTAAGGGGTTAACCTCGAATCGCCCGACTTTCGCGTCGCTGTCGTGGATCTAGACCGTCTCGAGTCTTGGTTGTATGTAAAAAGAGAGGGGTTATCCATTACCCTTGTCTTCTTATTTTTATAATGTGGGGTTAATCATAAAAATGTGACGGTTTGAGTTCTCGAGATTACGCCGGGAGAGGTCGGGCGGTGAGAGCGTTCTCGACCGCGGCGGCGGCGGAGGACCACGTGGTCTTCTCTCGCGGCCCTCGGAGCGTGCACGCGCGTCTCGACGCGCGCGGACGTACGGACGTCGGGCGAGGCATCATCCCCTCCATCGGGCGTCGTTCCTACGGTTCCTCTACCTTGGCGTTACGCGGGAGCGCCCGGGCGCCCGTTCATTCATGCCGCCGCCGCCGTCGCATTCATGCACCGGCGTCGCGACGACTCGCCACGTGCCGGACCGGCCGCTTAACCGTGAATGGCGCGCCCACGCGTCGCCTCTTCTAGTCCGTCCCTCAACCTCCGCTTCCGTTTCAGGTACCTGGACAGGTACGAGAAGGTCCACTACCTCGGCGAGGACGGCCAGCAGGCCGACGACGACGACGAGGACTCGCGACACCGCAAGTGGTCCGCCAGGGCTCTCCACTCGGTCCCGCTCTCCTACAACCACCACCAGCACAACATCGCCGGTAATGCCGCACCCTGGATCGCCGTCGTCCCGTTATTCGTCTCGTCGTCCAACCCCTAGCTTAACTTTCCCCACGTCCGACGAGGACTTGGGGACCGATCGATCCACGGGGGCGACCTGGTGGCGGATCGCCGGACCCCTGCCCCGGGGAATTTCACGCGTCGCCGGCTCGACCGGCGGGAACCGTGACGCGCCTACTCTCCTGACTTCACGGAGCCTAGAGAAATTCCGCCGTGCGGTTAATGTTCACGGAAAGTTTTGGAAAAAACGTCCAGAAAAATCCGCCGTTAGCGGCTCTAGGGATTAATTTTATTTTCCTGTATGGTTTTCACGGTGGAAAGGCGCCGCGGCGCCTGGACGCCACCGAGAGGCCGATGCGGAAGGCACGGCTCGATACGCCCCGCGGGCCGGCGGGCGGGCATTTCCGCCCGGCGGGATTTTATTCGGTGCGCCGCTCGCCTTTCCCCGCCCGACGTGAATGGCCCGTTCCCGGTTTACCGGCCACCCGGAAACTCGGTGCCGCCCACCGGGCGGAATAATTCGGCCGCGAGGGAAAATTCAACGCGTGCATATCGATTGTACTCGGTGCGCCACCCCTGTCGATTGTCGAAACGGGTCCCTCCACCCCTTCCTCCTAGGTCGTTAGGTATATGTATCTCTCTCTCGGTCTCGCTCGCGCGTCACATCGCCCCGGCGACTATCGACGCGCTCTCGGCCGTGCATAACACCGATATGGCGCGCGGGAATAATTTAATGGGCAATAATCATGACGCGGTGCACGGGCCGCATAAACCACCGCCGCGGGGGCGGCGTGGTCTATACTGGCGACGCATGCGCCCCGCGCCTCCACCCGGGGCGGGAATCTCGTCGGCTTTATTCCCTCCCAGTCTTTATTAATTCCTTTTTATATTTATCTCTCGAGAACGGGGACGAGGAAGACCTAGCGATGGTCTGGGGGACGGTTTATCTCGTTTTAACGCGTCGACGAGGAGATTCTCGCTCTTGGGGATTTCATACCGAGGAGAGCGAATTTGGGCGAGGACGATCGCGAGATGAACACGTGGTGGGGAGAGGTCGGAGCGATATTCGCGGGGTCCCGCGATTCCGGATAACGATCGCCGTATGGAGACGAGGTCGAGCTTGGGAGCGCGGCTGTGCGCACTCGCCGGGAGGGAGGAAGAGGGGGCGAGCCCGGAGTACGCGCGCGCGACGGAGAGGGAGAGAGCTGCGGGTGGACAATCAATAAGCGGCGACGCTCGGAGATAGGGGTGGCCGCGCTCGGCCGGTTCCGGAACGACCGCGCGACGCCCTTCCACCTTACCGGAGTCGATGGACTCACGGTTGAGGATTTCATTTCCAACGAGGTCGATCCTCGAGCCTCCCGGAACTTCGAGAACCCCGCTCGAAGAATATCGGACGATCTGCCCGGTGATATTCTTTTATTTTTTTTTTTTTTTTACCGCGGAAACGGGTGCCGCCAGCTCCCAATGGGGTTTGGAACGATGTCCAGCTGTTCCTGGAGTACCTTCCAGGATTTTTTTCGGAGGGTACTGAACGGGCTGTAGATTCGCCCATGAGCGAATCTACATCCCGTGGTATCCCCATAAGCCCTGAGAGGAGGATCTTTTCGACGTTGTGGATTTTTACATTTTTTTAGGTTGATTGCGTCGATCGCGGGTGCCAATCAGGGTGGGCGGGGGTCGCGGATGTTCGGAGGCCGGAACCGGAAGCCGCGGAAAGGACGGGATCGATCGGTCGCGGGTGCGCGACCGTGAGAGGGTACGAGGCTCCCGCGGGTCGATAGGCGACGTTTACGGCATCTCCGGAGGGCCCGGTTTGGGATTTTACTACCGGGCTCGTCCCACTCCCTATTATCTATTTAAAGAGTAATCCGACTTGTTGAGATATACCCCAAGTGACGAGGGGAAAAAAAAGTAAAAAATCGGAAATCATCACAGCCCCCTTGACTTTTCTCCTTGTGATGGGAAATTAACCTCAAACTCGTGAAACACCTCCGTGAGGAAAATGTCTTCCATGGTTTATCGGATGGAGATCGAGTTTTCGCGGGAAAAAATTGTCGAGCGCGTCGACATCAGGGGTCGCTAGCTGCCGCGGCGCTTGGCGCCTCCTCGTAGAGAGCTACGGCAACCTACGGCAACCTACTTACGGTGGGGAGAGATCCCGGCCGGGCCGGCAGCGCTCCGTCCCTTTCCCTCCGGCGCGCCGGGCGCTCGGACCTCTCTGTCGCGCCGCGATCCCGGCGCGATCGCTCCCGATCGCCCGGCCGCAGTCCCGCTCCGACCTGCACGCGGTGCAGGTCGCGCGGGGCGAGACGGCGCGCGCCGCCGCGACCTGCCCCAACGTGCCGGCGTCGCGACGCGCGCGCCGCAACTCCGCTATGGATCGCTACGACATGCCGCGCTTTTCTCTTTTAGACCCAGGGACCCACGCGATAATTCTCGAAAGGATTCTTGTCCGTGCCGTAGTTTTATGCGAAGGTCCACGTCATGACCATGTCCTTCTTTTCAGAATCATCGTTACCATGGTCGTGTCCTTTCTTTTTTCCAGAATCCCTGCGCGAGTACAACGGACTCTCGGCTAACCTCTACAAGCCGTCTAACTACGACAAGCTCGCGCTTTCTTTGCTGTCGCCGCTCCCGAACGAGCAGGACTTTGCGATCAACGTCTGCACCCTCCTCTCGAACGAGGGTCGTCACACCCTTCGCCTGGACAAGTATCCCCGGCTGGTGAACATCCTCCTGGCGCACGCCGGGGTCTTCGACTCCCCGGGGACCAGGCAGCTCTTCATCGAGGTCTACTCCCGGGTGCGCAACTACTCGATCAACTCGTTCTGGTGCGACGTTATCGACGCCCAGGACGTCCTGGATCTGACCGACGAGAGGACCTTCGTGAAGAAGCCCCCGACGATCCTGCGCACCTTCTCCAGGAGGAAGACCTTGGAAAAGGAGAGGCAGTCCAGGGCCCAGGCCAGGACGGAGGGCGAGGACTGCGCACCGCTACCCATGGACGTCGACGGGGTAAGGGAGGACTCTGTTACGACCCTCCGGGTCGACCTCTCCCCTTGGCTCGAGGACCTCGATTGATCTCTGCTTTTTCGCCCCCTTCTTTTTTTTTTCCCCCGCCGATCTAAGGTCATCCCGGACTGTCCCCGGCTGGAGGCCGCCTCGTCGCCGCTCCCAGAGGACCGGTTCAAGGACCTCAACCAGAACTCGATCAAGTTCGAGGACGAAGACAAGGACTTGTTCTGTGTTGGACGGACGTTGGGCACGCAGGATCCGTACGGGCAGCGTGTCCTACAGATCGCCTCGATATTGCGGAACTTGAGTTTCTGCCCGGAAAACGCGGCGGTTCTGGGACGTAATCGGTGTTTCTTGAGATTCGTATTGTTGTGCGTGAGGGCCCGGTGGAGCAATCTCCACCAGCTGGGCTTCGACCTCCTCGGGAACGTCGCCGGGGAGATCATTCTCAAGGAGGCCGGCGACCGGATCACCGACGTCGTCCTGACGGCGGTGGCCAGGGGCATCGACTCCCAGGACAGGTTCATCGTCATCTCCTGCCTGGAGGTCCTCAACAAGGTCAGCCAGCAGGACAACAACGAGGAGGTCGTCACCTTCGGCCTCGACGACTGCGTATACGAGATCATATGCAGGTTCGCCCAGTCGTTAACAATAAATTAATACGTAGAGTATTTTAAATAAATTAATACGGGTTGAAAAAGAAATTAGCACTACGTGCAATTACGGGTACTGTATCGTTACGTCGCTTGAATGTTGCGAAGAAAATATTGCGGAAAGGAAATGGAAAAATCGCGGGTAAAGGTTACGTCGTTCCTCCAGGTTTCTGGCGCTTAGCGACATCGCCCTGCTGGTGTACACCCTGGAGTGCCTGTACGCCCTGACCTCGTTGGGCGAGAGGCCGTGCACGAGCGTCGCGCGGGTACGCGGAGCCATCGACACGCTGGTCGCCCTGGTCACGGTGGAGGCACAGAGCTACGGGCCGAAGGCCTGCATCCTGATGCGCGTCGTCGAGACGGTGTCGACGATAAGCGTGCCGACGAGCACGGCGGCGACTCCGGCGGCTGCCGGGGCGCCGGGCGCCGGCCCCGTCGCGGCGGGGACGCCGGGTGCCGCGGTCGCGGCCGCCCCGGCGACGCCCGCGACGCCCGCCCCGCACGCGGCCCACGCGACTCCGGCCACGCACGCGACGCACGCCGCCTCCGTCCCGACCACGCCGACCACCGCGACGCCGACGCCTGCCCCCTCCCCCGTGAGCCCGGCCACTTCGAGGCCGACCACCCCGGCCACCCCCGTCAAAGCCTCCGCCGCTCAAAGTAACCAAGCATATATTAATAATTTCATGTTATCATATTTTAATAATTTCACGTTTTCATATTTTTTTAATAATTTCACGTTTTCATATTTTTTAATAATTTCACGTTTTCATATTTTTTAATAATTTCACGTTTTCGTATTTTTTAATAATTTCACGTTTTCATATTTTTTAATAATTTCATGTTTTCATATTTTAATATTTTAACATATTGTAATATTTTTCTACTAACCATTTGAATGCACCGCGCGGCGTGCATCCCGAGTATGACCGCGTAACCCGAGCTCTCGCCCTACAGAAGCCCTGGAGGCGGCCAACTCGATCCAGCAGCAGCACGCCCACCAGCAGATCATCCAGGAGAACGAGCAGTTCGCCCTGGGCTGGCTGAGGGCAACGTTCGAGCTGGCCCCGGGAGTGCGCATCGAGCAGGAGGAGCTCTACAAGAAGTACCTCGGCTGCTGCACCAAGATCGGCAGGCGGGGCGTCATCGCGCCGCCTCACTTCCCGAGATGCGTCAGGTGAGGAGAGGAGGTTCCTCGCGCCGATCGTTAGGTACCTAGGACGGGGTTTAACCTCGACGGAACGACGCCTGTCCCCAGGTCCGTGTTCGGCGGCACGGTCGGGCCCAACCCGCTGAAGGGCGAGACCACGGGCTCCCAGTACTACGAGGGCATCCGGGTGCGGTCGGTGCCGGGCCCCGTGACGTATCCGGGGCAGACCGCAGCGGGGACCAACGCCGCCCCCGTCCCCGGGCTCAACGCAACTCCAGTAAAGGTGCTTCCCGTTCAACAGCGTACCGCCAAGACCATAAGTCCCGCCCCCGATAACGGCACGGCTCTAGATAGCCCCGCGACCGGACCCCCCAGGGCTCCGGCTCCCGCCTCCCCCATCCTCAAGGCCCAGTTGTCCGCCCCGCCAAAACCACCCTCCGGTTCTCCGAATCAACCCCAGAGTCTACCCCAGAGTCCAGTGACCAAGGTTGACTCGAAAAGTCAGGTGGGTCCGAGTCCTACTTCTCTCTACGTCGTACTCTCTTCTTCGCTCGTCTCTCTACGTGCCATCTGTATACGTGCGAAATCTCTCCTTCTCTCTGTCTCTGACTTCGCCTCGATCGACGCTCCTTGAATCTCGAGTCTGGAGGGACCTCTTCCTTTTCTTTATCTTTTTCTTTTCTCCCTCCTTTCCTCGTAGAAGAGCCTCGTCGCTCGAGGGATCCGACGCTTTCCTATTGCTGGCCGAGTTTACCCGGAGCCGATGCCGTTGGTACCCGCCAGGGCTCTCGATCTCTTCCTCGGGCCCTCTTCGTGGTTTCCAATCGCGTCGACTCCGGAGACGGCCCGGTTGAAGACCGCGCCTCCTTGTAAAGTGGATCGCGCTTCCCTTTCTGCAAACCGAGCATGCCTTGACCCATATCCGCGGCTCCGGCTGCGGGGGTGCCTCCTGGTCATCCCGGAAACCCGTAGGGTCGCTCCTCTCGGAGTCGCCAAAGTAATCGCTGCTTCCTCCTTAGACTAGACCGTAACGACTCGCCGTGCATCCCGGTTTCCCCTGGTGTTGGGTTCTCCTAGAGACCGCGAAATGGGTATCCGGTATGTCTCGTGCACCTGTCTCGATGGACCGAGAATGGCGTTGAAAGGCGACCTAGAGGGAACTCTTCGTCGCCTCGGTGGGATTGAATTAAATTCTTCGTTCATCTATTTCTCGTTCTCCCTCGATCGAGACCCTCGGGCACCGCTCGCTCTGGCCTAGGGTATCTCGTTACCTAGTGTTACCTAGTGTTACCCCATACTCGGTAGAGTGTTTGAGCGTCTTTGTCATTGATGTGGACCAGGTGTCAGTGTCGCACCCCCACCTGAGCCAGGCACTGCTGGCGAGCGGGTCGCAGCAGCAACAGGCGCAGCAGCAACACCTGCAGCAGCAGGCCATCCAGGTAGTGGTCAAGGAGGACCCTAGAAGCGGTGCCACGTCCAGTTCCATTATTAAAAGCCTATTGGCTACCAAGGTAACAGTCAGCGGCGACTGCATGCCCAGTGCCGCTGCCACGTGTGTGTCTGCCCCCTCTGCCTGCGTAACAAACACTACTGCTAGCATCGCATCCAGCATCAGTGCCAACCAGCTAACAACCACCAACCAGGTACCGTTGCAGCGTCGTAGCGTAGCGCCCAGGGTGGACGAGCCACCCGGAGGTCCTCGCGAAAGGACAACCCGAACCCGGGGTTTAATCCCCTGATTTAAATTCACTCCTCGGTCAACGGCAAGGAGGCCTCCACGTGGCGCGTTGACCCTGGACAGGTGTAAGACTCGGAGAGAAGACGGGCCGTCGGTCCCCAGGGTGGTGTAGTCATTCTCAGGGGAGGATCTTGTCCGGCGTGCCGCGGTATAACCTCCCCGGGATGTCGCGTTGAATTTCAATCCAGCCCCTTTCCACTTGAGAGTCGATGACCTAACATTGTAAAGAGTTGTCGAATTAACAGAGTGACTCCTGACAGTGGAGGCACGAGTCACCGTTAACAGTGTGTGAATACTAACACGGCATGGTTTTCACGTCGATTTTCGCCAGTCGGTCGGATGGCGAGTAGTAGAGTGCATTTTGATGAGTACTCCTGGGACTCCACGTGGTGACTTAAGGAGTCCTTGGATAGAGGAAGAGAATACGTTGTGGAGAGTCGAAGGGTCTGGGGAGTGGAAGTGACGATTCGATTGTCTTTCCCGTCTACAGGTCGCCCAGAGGCAGCAGCAACAGAGGCTACTGCAGCAGCAACTCTCGGGGGTCGTCCAGCCTACGGCGCCCTCGGCGACTCCTGCGGCGACTCCACCCGCTGCGACCCCGAAGGTTCCCGTTAACTCGAAGCAAAAGCCAGCTATCGGGCCTATTCCTGCCAAAAAGATACAAAGACTCAACGGGGCTAAGGTCATCGTGACTAATAACTGTGACAAGGTGGGGTGGTCGTCGCAATTTTTTCCCTATTTTATTTAAACGGATTTACTCTTTGTTATTCGATATTTAGAGGTATTTCATTTACACCGTTGTTACATTTTCAGACTGAGGTAAGCGACAACGAGAACGCGAGCCAAGGGCCGACGACGACGGTCGCGAGCAGCGTGAACGAGAACCACGTGACGACGACGGGGAAGGTGTGCCGACCTCCTCCTCTGGCCCCGCTTCCTGGAGGGAACAAGGTGAACCAGCGAACTATCTGCACCCCCATCGCCGAGGACTCGGACTCGACGAACAACTCCTTGGCGTCCAGTAGCGGGATAGGAGGCAGCAGGGACTGTTCCGGGGTCGGGGCCGAGGAGGAGAACTCCCTGACGAGCTTCGAGGGGATCCTGTTGAACGGGGCGCCGAGCAACCTGGACATCGACGCTCAGGAGGATGGCTCCTCGAAGGACTCTTCGGGACTGGGCACGAAGGACAAGCCCCTACAGAACCTGATGCTGGCCGACCTGCTCGAGAGGAAGGTCGAGAAGGAGCCGATAATGAACGGCGTCCTGGGGAAAAATTCGATCAACGAGAAGGGCATCGACCTCGTCAAGAACCACATCGAGAAGGTGCTAAAGGAGGCCGCACCGGAGGCGAAGGTGAAGCCCGAGGTCGAGGACAATAACGGGCTCGCGCGGACGGAGGTTTCCGAGGACGCGTTGATCGAGCCTCCCTCGAGAGGGATCAAGCGATCCGGGAGCGAGACCGAGGTCCTGGAGACGAAGAAGCCGAAGTATTCGAACGGAACCTCCTCACCCGATCCTGCGATGGACCCTGCGGCGGTCGAGTCCACCCTGTCGAGCGTCAAGTCGGAGGAGCAGGACGACGATAAGGACGGCGAGAAGGCGACGGTGTCTTCCACCGCGGCTAATCTCTACGCCGCCCTGGCAGCGGACTGTATAGAGGACGAGACGGATTTCGAGGAGCAGGTGGGGGTCAAGGAGGAAGCCGTGACGGTGAAAGAGGAGCCCCAGGTCCCGGCGACCCAGCTGGAGCAGCAGCAACGCCAACCGAGTCCGCCGAATCAGCAGACTCAGCTCCAACAGCAGCAGCAGCAGCAGATACAGCAACAGCAGATGCAGCAGCAGCAGCAACAGCAGCTCCAACTCCACCAGCAGCAGCAACAACAGCAACAGCAGCAGCTCATCGTTGCCGGGCCGAGGCAGATCGTGGTGCAGCAGACGATCCAGCCGAACAACCAGGTGATCATCCCCGCCGCCACGATGAAGGCGCGACAGGCTCAGGCGCAGCCTCAAGTCCTTCTGCAGCAGAGTCCCGGAGGCCAGCTGCAGTACGTCGTTTCCGGAGGTGTGCCCGGTCAGAATTACGTCCTGGCCCAGCCGCAGACCGCCCTGGTCCAGGGCCAAGCCCAGACCGTCCTGGTCGCGCAGACCACCCAGCAGCAGGGCACCGGCGCTAAGACCATCATCATCCTCCAGCCTCAGGCGGCACCTCAGCCCTCAGCGGCCCAGAAGGTTGTCGCCGTCACCCCACAGGGCCAGCAGGTCGTCGTCACCCAGGTGCCACGGCCGGTTTTACAGAGCCCTGCCCTGGGGAATATCCCGCCCCCGCTGGTCCCCACCTCGGCGACCCTGCCGCAGACCTCCATCATCGTGAACAGCTCCGTCGCTCAGAGCTCCCCCAATACCGTCACCGTGGCCAACCCCGCGATCGCCCAGCAGGTCGCCGTCACGACCAGCATGCCACCCAGGGTGGTCACCCCGACCCCGGCCTCGACGCCGCCCCCGACTCGACCTACGACCCCGCACCAGGCCGCGGCTACTCACGGCCTCGCCGTCAAGCAGCCTGTCAAAATCGTCAAGACAGTCAACTCCGCCACCTCCATGGAGACCGAGGCCAAGCCTTCTACCAGCCAGGTCGCCGAGACCAAGACCATCACCATCAAGATCGACCCCAATGCCTTCCTCTGCGAGTGGAGAGGGTGTCTCAGGTGAGGATCGCCGGGTCGACGCAAGCTTATCTCTGGTCCTAGGGATTGGTATTCACCCTTTTCGTCTCTCTTTCTATTTCTTTTTTTTTTTTTTTACAGGCAATTTAAAACCGCCCATGAAGTGTACCTTCACGTATGCGAGGCTCATTGTCCAACCAGTGGCGAGGAGATCCTCTGCCTCTGGGCTAGCTGCGATGGACTGAAGAGGCGCAGGTTCTCCCTGATGACGCACCTGTACGACAGGCACTGCAACTCGGAGGTGAGTTCTCGAAGATGGTTTTTTTTTTTATTTTCGAAGGGGAGAGACTAACGGGGCGCGGCTCGTGGTTTGATCCTCAGGTGATGTCGATGAGAAGGAAACAACTGACCGTCACGGGGAAGACGGAGATCTCGACGACGACCCCTCCCCCGCCACACCATCCAGGATACGCCCCGAATGCGGCTTTCCATGCCATCAAGAGGCATGCCCTTGAGTTTGTCAATCCCAAGGAATTAATGGTAATGGTTTACTGATTCCTCCAGGTACCACCAATCGGTCTAATGACAGTTAATCTTGATGAGTTCCAACTTGATGCGCTCCTCCTAAAACTAGAGTACGGGGAAGGTCTCTCAGGGTTCTCTCGTCCTTGTAGCTCTCCTAGAAAGGGTTAATGGCTAATCTACAGGCACCACCACCTCCCCCCCTTGTACTGGAAATTAATTTGAATACCTGCGAGGCTCGTGCTGCGTTTTTGTTTTTTCGAGCCCTCTTTTATGCCGAACCGTTTAACTGAATCTCTCTCTCTCTTGTTTCTCATATTGGCGAAGCAGCAAAGGCCGTCCAAGCCCGCTGCAGCCATCTCGAGCTCCTCCTCTCCCAGACCTGGGCAAAATCCTCCGCCGGAACAGGTAAAGATGCGTTCAGAATATTCCGAGAGTCTGTCCGGAACGGAGAATTAGACGGGAAGAGTTAACGAAGAAGAGAAAAGAACGTATAAGAGATGAAACAGACTCCTCGTCTCACAGCCACGGCCATTGTGCGCTGCGCTCTCGCCTTTTTTTTTTTCTGTTTTGCTTTCGTTGTCCTTGTTATTTTTTTTTTCTCGCACCGCATCTACCTGCTCTCTCTTTCTCTCTCCGTCTTTCCATCCCCCTTATCTGTCCCGTTCATTCGCTCCAAGATACACCCTGGCATGAATTTCACTTGGTTCTCCCACATTTTCTAGCCGGTCACGTCCCCGATCGTGCGTTTTCATTTCGAGGCGATTTTACCTAGGCGGCTGCTTTATTCGCTGGGCTCGCTTCTCTTCTTTTTTTTTCTCTCTCTCTTTCTCTTTGTTCCCTTTTTGTATCGAAGTTCACGAAGAAGCGGAAATGACGAGTGTAAGTGGCGAGTATGTGTTTGTACTTTCGTGTACCGTGGAGAGCGCTAAGTGCGATTCCATGTCGCTGTTTTTCTCTCTCTCTCTCTCTCTCTTTTCTTTTTTTTTTTTTAATGTGTGTGGATACTTTCCACCCCGATCGCGCAAATGCTTGGATTGTCGCCTCGGGGATGTCTTTTGTTCCATTTTGTCGTTTGGCATGTTGACGTAACTAACGTTGCACTGAGGCGTCGTGGGGATTTTAATCCGGAGCGGGCGTTATGATTTCTTTCGGTTTAATCTCCGTTTAGTCGTCCATTCGACCTCGCGAGGGTGCAGCGAAAATCCGAATGGTTAACTCTACGTTTTGTGATCGAGGTCTTTCACGGATTAACTTAATCCATGCTTGTCATTGCCGAGGAACAATCGGCTCGCGGTGCACCCTGCAACGTCGACGTCCCGTTAGTTACCTCTAAGCGGCGCGCAGAGCGCTCTAACTTGCATCGGTGCAACGTCATCGCCCTTGCCTTTATTCCTGTTAATATGGGGTAATTTTCGTTTGCAGGATGACAACGAAGGTCCAGTGACCAAAAGTATTCGCTTGACGGCAGCTCTCATTCTCAGAAACCTAGTCATATACTCCGCACACGGAAGGAGGTACGTCCTGGGAATTAACGAGCAATTAGGCTTCGCGTGCTCGTACAAGTAGAGATGGGAGGTGCAGGAGTGCACCCTGCTTTATTAAGAAATTCTGCTTGCAGGCACCTCCGAGCGTACGAGCCCCACCTGGCAGGCGTGGCCTTGAGCAACGTGGAGTCCTCGAGGACGATCGCCCAGGTCCTCTACGACATGAACGACCAGAGCAGCAGCAGTCACAGGTGACCTCTCGAGCCAGGCCTCTAAGAGCGGCTCGCGGAGCCCCAGGAGTTACACGGAAATCCAGCGTGGATATCGCGAGGTCGCCCCGGAAGCGGCAACCTGGACTCGCGGTTGACCTCGCAGCTGACGTCGCAGCTTACCTCGCGGTTGATCTTTGAAAAAGCCGACAGTGAGCACGGGGAAGCCGAGCGCGCGTGGACGCGCCCGGGCGCAGCGGACTGAGCCCCTCGTCGGGGTGGAGGTCGAGGGCGGCGATGCATCTGCCCTTACGCGAAGGTTACGGAAGGGAGGTGCCGATACGAAGGGCAGGAGGAGGAGACGACGAGGAAGATCGAAAGAGGCCTACAAACTTACTAGGCAAGGCCATTGCCAATCTAGGTAAAGAAAATAAAAACACACAAAAAAAGAACAAATTGTATCGTTAAGGGACTGCGACTAGAGTAACACGAGAGACAAAGACCGGGGACGCGAGTGTTCCGGAACAGTGAGACAAAACGAGAACGAGATATAACGTTTCAGATTTAATATTAATATTTATTTTCTCAACGTCGAGGGGAGCGAGCGGCGCCGGCGGGGGGGGGCAGTGTGTGTTTCGAGGTGGACGCGCGTACAAACGAAGGGGACGAGGAAAGGCGAGAGCCGGAGGTGCGAACCTTCGCGCGGGTGTTAATTAGTTACTTTTTAATCGGCATTATGCGCGGATGGACTTCTGTTATTTCTCGTAGCGAGCCACCTGGATTTTTAAGAGACCCGGGCCCATTCATCCGAAATATCCGCCGGGAGGGCCGTTGTTTCATTTTTCTCGCTTATCAGGGTTGCGCATCGCGATTACACCCCCGCATCTCTGTTGTCTATATTTTTTTTCCCCCTCTCGGTTTTTTCCCTTCAACGTTCTAACGTGCTGGTGGAGCGGGTCGCGGCAACCCTTTCGCACCTGGTTCTCCAGGTCGGCGAGAAATGCGCTCTCGGTGGATCCGATTCGTAAGGACGTGGGACATCGCTCGGGACGGTTCCGAAACTTTAGCCGAATTTAGTTCGACCCAGGCGACACGTTTTGCTAATTATCGTACTATCTCAACCCAATCACTCCGATCGATTCCGCGTTTCCTAAGAAGACCCGGACTGCGGATGCGACGAGCGCGGTCTTTCCTTTTTACGATTTTCCGAACCAACACCACGGAGGATCGAATCCCGAAGGGCGCGATTAACTCGTGGTCTTTTTTCTTTTTTTTCTTCATCTTTGGAAAGGCGTTTACACTCGTAGCGTTCACCACCTTTTCTCTCGAGGGTTGCGTGTGGGAATTTTTCATTCACACGATGTCGATTCTATGTGGCAGAAGATTGTCTCCTAGCGTTCGGCAGGACGAGGCGAAACGTCCTGGGGGTTAAGGCAGGTCAGGACCGAAGGATAGAGGCGATAGATCCGAAATCTCGGAAAGAAATCCGTTGCAATCAATGATAGGAAATCAAACGTTAGATTGGTAGGCGGGAAGGAAGACCGGATTTTAATCGTTTCTCCAGGTTCCTTTTTTTCTTTTTTTTTTTTTTTACTCGGCGTGACTTACACTTAAGGCTGAGACGGGACACTTGTTTTAACGCTACCGAGGTTTTATACGACCGGACGTGAAATCTCAGAGAGGGCATGGTTCGCATTTACACGATCGGTCGCTTGGATCGAGCCGAAATACGGAGAAGAATTCGGATCTAAGAGGCACCGAAAAGCCAGAGATGAAAGGGATTAACGATGCCCGTTTGTAGTTGAACCATCGAATAATGAATAATTACGATTCGGGAAACTGTGGCCGGAGGTAACGTCGAGGCGATCGTCCGGATGGCTAATTAAGGTAACTCGTAAGACGCGGAAGAAGATCGATTAATCAGATGACGGTCTAATTGTAAGTTGCAATTGCCGTTAGTAATTGTTCGGTGAGGAGATTATAAATGTAATCAGCGTTGGATTCATCTCTGGTCGGAGCAGGCGGGGGAGGAAAGGGGAGAGAGCACCTATACATATTTGTACATATATATAGCGGCCGTATCTCGTTCGACTGTGTTACACATGGGAAGTTCTGTGTACATTTCTTCTGGAAGTCGTAGGCTTAACGTCTAAAGAATCCGAGCTAAGATATATCTGTATTATAATAGATATAAATGACAAGACGTAGAAGTTGCAAGAGATGAATTTTTGTAATTATTTAAAAGGACGAGCGGATGTTTCAAAGGCTGGGTCTAAGTATTAGCGAACAGCCGAGTAAGAGTAAAAACTAAGGACACTAAGTATAATAATGGACCCCGTGCGAGCCTCAATTATGTATTTTATATATAAATATATAAATATATATATAAATAAGATGAATTTATTATATAGCCGGACGTTCTAAGGTCGGAGAATCTTGCAAGAGGCTTTTTTATTCTATCATTTGTAATTTCTTAGGTTGTAATCGCTCGGCGCCGTTTGGTACGATCGTCAGAGGGTCAATAAAAGGTCGAGGCATCTCCGTTAATAGATTGCCGAGTGGCGGGAGTCCATTTGAAAAATGCAAAACCAATCGGCGTAGTTACGAGGAGGAAACCCGGAGTCGAGGCTCCTACGAAGGAGCAGCCGGTGATCTCCCGAAAATAATAATAAAAAAAAAATGAAAAGAAAAGTCGTACAGAGGATCGATCGACGGGCTCCGAAAAGCGATCCGAGAATACTTGTATCCTATGATTTTCGCGTACCCTGACTCCTAGAGTCCCGGTACGGATCACCCTGCGTATTAAGAAGTAAATCATACAACATTTGTTATACATATCGTTTTTATTACTGGCGTAACGATTAAAAGGCTCCGAGCTTTGGCACGGTCCCACTCGTCGCGACTCTGGATTACTTGGAGAACGTCATTCCAAACGTTTTCCCCTCGACATAAGTCCTCCACTGCGGAAAGAAAGATGGCGGACCTCGGGAGCGAGATCCCACCCCGAATAAAATGCTCCGTCTCCTATTCCTTGTCTCTCAGTTTCCACCGACAGGCCGGAAGAGGTAAGAAAGGTGGAATTTACGCGCGAACGGTTTCTTCGCCCCTGAAAATTTGAATTTGCCGCGCGGTGCATGCCGGGAACGTCGCGGGGTGTACGTATTCAAACGCCGCGCAACCGCCATTCCCTTTGATTCCTTTTAATTCTCTTATCCTCCTCTCGCTCGTTATCAGGCGCGAATGCATCTACACATAGACAGGGAGAAGTTCGATTTATTAATTTTAACGAGATCGCTGAAGAGGTGCTTCTCAATTTTACGCAATTACGCTCCGATAATCGAAGTCGGGGAGGGAAGGGTCCCCCGAATGGCGGCTTCCCATTGGTCGAGCCCGCGCATGCGCGGAGCGCCGGCATTCGGGGTGGCGCGGCGCGCGACCGGCATTCGGCGTCCTGGACTCGAACGGGAAGGAGTGAACCGCGTCGCGTCTCGGTGCGTCCTTTGAAACTCGGTCCAACCGGGAGAAGCGAGTGCGCACCGATAACCTCGAAATCTCGAATCCCCGTCACGCGCCGCCATCGACGTGTCCGGACCACCCTCGAAGTATTTCTAAGCGAGACCTTCGCTTCTGTCGCGTCGGTCGCGAAACGGTCCGCGAGTGAGTGCTCCAAAACCACGGAAGCGTCGCCTGCACCGCCGACTGCAACGCCGACTGCAACAGAGTGAGTACCCTCCACTTGACGAAGGCGTCGAAATAAAGACGCCGCGACGCGGGTTCCGAAACGGAGCCGAACAAAAGAGCCCCGTCCCGCTGGGAATATTAAAAAAGCGTCGCATTTCGGTATTCGGTAAATTCAGCGTCTGCGAAGCCGCGCGTCGCATTTCCTTTTTTATACGTATTTTCTGCCGGGTCGTAACAGCGGGGAAAAAAGGTTAATTTAAACATGGACTCTGATCGCCGCGCGTCGCAGTTCTTTCTTTCTTTCTTTTTTTTTTTCCTTTCAAACGCATCTTTTTCCCGCGTCGTAAAAGCGAGAACGCGCATTTTGGGGTCCTCTTGAAATGCACCCGCCTTCGGGCCTCCGTCGGGGTTTCGAGCGATCGTTCTCGTCTCCGCCTCCGAGGGGAAGCAGCTGCGTCCACCGGGGCCGGGAGGGCTCTTTTTCCTTCCCTCGAGCCACCGGGCTCGCCCTAAATATTCGCCCGGCGAGGTTTAATATCCCAACTTCTCCCATTCCCCGAAACCCCCGGGTCGGGGGCACCACTTCCCGCAGGATCCGGGGATCCGTGCCAAGTGCGCTTTGTGCCGGGAAGCTCTCTGCCCAGTCCGCGGAAATCGATCCCGTTTACTCCGAATATCAAATGCTAGCTCGGGTTCACGTGGTCCTGGCCGTCGATTTCCACGGGGATACTACCACAAAGTGGAGATACACTTCCGGAAGATACATACCGCGATATATCGCACCCCTAGCTAGTGTTCCGGCGCCGGCCAGGACCCCGTCGAATCGTCAAGGACGGCCAGTCGGTCGTCGACCGTCTTACGGGGTGGACGCGTCTCGCCCGCCTCTCTGCACGTATATATTATAAATATACAGGTACATATTATATGCATGCAATACATAAGCGATTGTAACGAGAAGTCCTCCGGGGTGCGATGACTCCGGGGGTTGGGAATTCCCGCTAAGTGCGGATCCCCTTCCCAGAAGTCGGAGGAACGAGGAAAGGAGAGGAGAAAAACGGGAAAGAAAGGAGTTTCCCTGCCAAGTGGGGGAGTCGCGAAGTGCGCTCACGGGGTGCACTTGGGTGCAGAAAGGGGCGAGGGGGACGGGGGGAGCACCCGGTACTCGTGTATTGCAGCGAGCCCGTGTACGTGCACAAGTTCGGGGGGGTGGTCGAGGGGACGATGCCACGCGATCGATCCGTTTACGTCTGGTCGCCCCCGACGGCCAGGCGACGCTTAGAAATCGCCCTGTCTTCCTCCGACGCCTACCCTCCCTCGTTAATGAACGCCCCTCTCCCTCCCCCTGTCCTCGGGGGTTTAAACCCGATCTTTAGACGCGTTTACATTTACTTATTTTGGATTTTCGTGGGCGCGAAATCGAAAACCGAGGGCGACGGAAGGACGCAGCGTACGTCGCATAGGGCGCGGCGCGTCGACGCGTCGAGGGTGAAATCCGAGTCCGGAGTCCGATTTCGAGCGTTGAGAGCTTTTCGCGGCGCAATTCCGATTTTTCCCTCCGCAATTCGCCGGGGGACTACTTTTTCCCCGCGCGGAGGTCACGTGACGCACGCAGGAGAGACGTGCGCCGATCGGATGCGCGTGAGCCGAGGCGGTGATCCGTCTCGCAGACAATGCGCGACCGTGAGAGGAACGACATGGGTATTGTGTATATACGGTTGTTCCCCATGTCCATTGTATGGATGTATGTACGGGGGTCGAGGTGGAAACTATGAACGGGGGCGGATTAGGGGACGGAAAAATGGAACCACGTGCGAGCGGGCCCTCTCTTGCTCTTGGGAACGCGCCGGCCGATTATGGGACCTTGATTCCCCGGGTGGGAACACCCGGAAACGGGAGATGGGGAGGTACCGCCGGGGAAACGCTACCGTGGAGATTCTTTACGCGGGACGGAAGGCCGTACAATGCGACAGGCATGATCCTCGCTCGGTTATGGGCGAAAAGAAACCGTGGTTTAATTCCCAAGCTTGCTTGGTTAACTTAACCAGAGTTTTTCATATCTTATGGGGGAGAGAGGTTTGCTCGGAGTTCCTTTATTCCTCGTGAAGGATCGGAGGAGAGGAGGAGGCGCGGCAGCTGCTCGGCGCCGGAGAGGTTAGGAGCGTCGCGGCGCTCGAGGAACGGAGGGACGGGCCAGGAAAAATAAATCCACCGGATCTACGAGGGGCCCCGAGGCCTCTCGACGGGTAACGTCGGGCGCGTTTAACGAGTCGCACGTTTTTACCCAGGCTGGAATTTTTTCCCGACGCGAATCGACCTCGGAGAGTCGCGTCGACGGTGCCGGGGAATTCTCTCCCTCGAGTCGTTTCTACGGCAGTTTCGAAACTCGGGGCGACCAGGGCCGAGAGGCGGAGAAAACGCGCCGAAAAGGGACGGGACGTCGAAGGAGATTTAAGGGAGGGTCGCGATCTTCGGCCGATTTCCCTGGAATAAAGATTCGCAGGTTGGAAACCGAGGTTGGGCCCTGAAAGGTGGGACCCGGGTTCCTGGGAAGGCTGGGGCGAGGTACCTATAACGTTAGGATTAGGACCCTTCGAGGCCGGACAATAGTCCGAAACCTAACGGGAGCCTAGACTCCTTCCTCCTCTTACTTTAATTTTCAAGGGCATTTTGCAAAGGTCTTACCTTTCCTTCCCACCTTCCAGGTCAGACATGAGCCAGGGCGACCAGGAGCAGGACAAGAGCATGGACAAGAAGGAGATCGCCGAGGAGGAGAGGGAGAAGATGCTGAACGCCGAGAACACGAAGCACTCGGGCTCGGTACCGGCCTCGGACGCCGAGGCCGAAGAGCAGAAGCCGAAGAAGAAGATCCCCATAGGCGGCATCAAGATGCCGGGCTTCTGTCGCACCAAGAGCAAGGAACCCTGCAAGGTCGGTCCCCGGGATATCGAGGTACCCTGGCCGAGGCCGAGGATTTTTCCCGACCCTCGCAACCCGATTTGCATGGGCCTTATATGGCGTACACTTCCCGAGAAACGGGGAGAGAGAGAGAGAGGGGCATAACGCTCAAGAGGATGGCTCTTAAAATGGGCGCACGCGTAACGATCACTCCGGGCGATTTGGGATAATTCGAGTTCCTAGGAGTAAATCCATACGGTCTGCGCGGATTTATCGCGCCGATTTATCGTTACGAGTGGTGCCTCTTTTGTACGGGATCGGGGAGCGAGCGCAGGGCATGACGTCCCGGGTGGAGTTTGCCTCGTTCTTCCTCCTCTTTTTCGGCTCTCGTCTCGGGTGATTCGCCCGAAATAAAACTGCGAGATCCCGGAGGAATGTCGCGGGGTTCCCGCGACCCCTCCGGGGCCCGCCGGTTGCGGAATCGTCGCGGAATCTCGGCCCGCGGGGCGGCTCTCGCCGCGGAGCTCTCTCGGGCGCCTTCAGTCGTTGCACCCGACTAATTTCTTTAATTGACTCAATTCCTCTTATTAAGCCCCTAATTGGGAAAGAAAGTGGTGCCGATTACTTCGGGCTAAGCGACGAGAGCCGGCCGACGAAGCGCGAAGGGTGACCCTCCGGTGAGTCATCTCCTGGGAAGAGGCGAATCGCTCCGAGAGCGAGGCGAGTCCGATCACCTGTTGCGGTCGTTGAAGTCGTTGAAGTCGCCGCGCCGATTTCAAGGATCGCGAATTCGCCTTCTCGGGATTAACTCCGGATTAATATCCTCATCCGTGGCGTTTCGTGCTCTCCTATTTCCTCGTCTCTCTCCCCGGTCTATCATTAAGGTCAGGCCCGGGAAGTCGCGACTTTTATTTCCATCGCCTCGAATGGGCGCTTTGCCGCGCTTTCTCGGGAGAAAACGCGCCGCGGAAATGAAGGCTGACCGTGCGTTTCCACCAATCGGTTCTGGCCGCGTTTTCGGGAATTAATCTCCCGATTTTTATCGGCCTCGATTAATGACTAGTAATCGTCGGATTCGTTTCATCTTTCGGAATGTCGCGTTTCCCTTCTCTGCTCGCGTCTATCTCTTCCTTATCAGCGCCGGCAGGATCCGTCGTCGAGGCTGACTTTTATCTCGTCCTTTAACGCGCTTTCTCGGGGGAAAACTGTGCCGCGACCCAGATCAAGCCTGACCGGGCAGCCGTACAAAATTAAGTGGGAAATTATTTTTCCCTCGCACTCGAGGCGCATCCTTCCATCCCGAGGCATGACTCCGCGAGGGCATCCGAGGCGGGATATAACGCATCGGAAAGATACAAGGGGACGGCCAGACGCGAGGAAACGACCTAACGAGTTTCGAGTTCCGCATTTAAGCGACTCTCGTACATGACGATGACTGGGCGGTGCGTTCCCCGGCTTCGTGACGTTGCCCCTTTGAAACAACACCCACCACGGGAGGAATAAAATCCGTCAAATCGGAGGAATTTCCTCTAGCACGCCATGCCGCTCCATTAAATTAACGCCACGATATAAATTCCACTGTTCCACGATTTTATTTTTTTTATTTATTTTTTTTTTTACTTATTTTACTTCGCAATCTTGCACTCACCCGTGACCGTCGAGAGGATGGACAGAGGGTATTAGCCCTTCGAACACGGTGCCATTTCGACATATGGGCGAAATTCCTCTGACCGTGCAGGCAATATTGGACCAAACGTCGGGCGCTCTTAGTAGCCAAAGGGTTAAACGAAGAATTATCTGGTGGTTTTTATTCCCTCCCGAGAAGTGGATTTTTGAAAAATGCGCATATTTGTGGACCGGTAGGTTTAGGTCGGGGTGAAGGGTCGATTCGCATATTTCGATAGGAGGTGCGGACCGGCCTTAAGCCGGGCGGTCGGTCGGACGCACTTCCCTGTTTATTCCGCGGCCCTTTTCTCCTTTTCTGGCCGGCACTCCTCGGCTTTGTCTTGCCGGGGCCCCGAGGTGTCCCTTTATACGGTCCATCTCGTCCGGGCGCTCCTGCGCGTTTTCGGGGTGGAGGGGCGGGGCCGGTCGGGACCAGAACCAGAATAACCGGAACCATCGAGGGCCCGTACCCGGCCACATGGCTCGCTCTCCTGTGCTCGTGTACGCCTCTTATTACCGACTCGTAATTACGGGCCACGGGAGAGATGGATCTCCCCTCCCCCCTCGGGACGCCGGGGAAACTCGGAGTTTCGGTTTTCTCTCCCCCTTCCTTTTTTCCTCGCCTCGGATGGAACCTTCGCGGTACTTAGCTCGAGCGGTTTCGTTTCCACCTTCCGCTTGGAGTCGAGGGTTAGAGACAGTTTTTTTTTCCTTTTTCTTTTTTTCTTTTTGCGAGACGCGTGTTACCCTCCGCGGGTGGAGGCGCCGATCGATAAGCCTTAAAGCCCGACGCGTTCGTCCATCCGCGTCCATTGCTCGGTCTTTTCGACCTCTACGGTCTCGAAGCGCGTTAAAGTTTCCCTTCGAGTTTCTAGAATAAAAAATTTTTAGGGCCCTAGAATTATTTCCCGGTACGTAGTCTCAAGTTCGCCCGAATTTCTTTGTTTCTGAATTCCTAAAGTTTGAAATTCCAAGCGCCCTATGTGGAGGTATTGGATTTCTCGTATTTATATTGTGCAGGTGTAGGTGAGATGTTTATTATTTTTTTTTTTTAGGGGTTCCGTATTTAAAGGGACTCTTAGAGGCGCCGGTACGCATATTTTGCGTACCTGCGAACTTAAGGGGGCCCTGGGTTAGACGAACGACCGCGGAGGGTGCGGGCGGGCGAATGAGAGAGGGGTGAGCGTTGCGTCGGATATCGATTGACGGCGGCCGAGGATGACCGGAGACGGCCGAAGGTGGCCGAGGACTGCCGAGCGGTTCCCGCGGCCGACGCGCATCCCCGGGAGGGCAGCACCCTTCCCTGCCGGTGATCGGCGCCCACTGTCTATAGGGTGGTTTAGGTTAACCCGAGCGGGATTAAAATCTCTAAATTATGGGACTGGTGCGAACAAACGGTGCCCTTGAAACTCCGTAATTTCCCTCTAGAACGGTTTCCATGGGAACGATATGGCGTCAGTCGTATCGAACGCTTTACGTGAATCACTCTGGGTGATGGTCATGTGCACACTGACGCATGTATGTATGTGCAACGCACCGCTCGACGCATTTCACCGGCAGGTGCGACGCACGGAGGAAGCGGAATTTTTTGCCTCGCTCCGATGACCGCCGGCCGGAAGTGCGTATCGCCGAAACCCTTCCGGCCGATCGATCGATCGATCGCGATCGACCCGGGAGAGGACCTCTCCTCCCCGAATTATAACGAATTCCACGGGGTCACCCGGTGAGACTCGCCATCGGTTCTCGAGCTCGGCAGACCAGAAAATTGCGCTTTTCCTCCCGAACCGGGCGCCCTCGTTTCCGGCCGAGCCACCTGCGAGAAACGGAATTTTCGACGACGCGTTTTCGAAATAACGGTCTCGTTGTCCCCTAGGGAGGGAAATATTCGAAACTGGGGGAACAGACGGAGTCGCGTTGAAGAGTGAGAGAAAGGAGCTCCCCTATTTTTTTTTTCTTTTTTTCTTTTTCATGGGTTCTTGGAAGAAAAACGTCTCGAGGGTCGCGTTTCTTCGCCCTGCGCAGGCGAGTTGCGCGCGACCCCTCCGCAGGGTCACGTGGGTCGGGGCTATAAATACGGGCGGCGCGGAGCCATGTGCGCCACTCGAGGCCGGCCCTCGATACGGCGCATGCCGGCGCTCCTCTGCGACCGCCTCTGCTTATCGTCGAGGTTCGTTTCAATTAACCGGGGGACGAGCGCTCTCTCTCCGGGTTAAATTACGTCACGTTAAATCGAGCCTAGGGGGTCAGGGTGACACACGGGACGCGGAGCGTTTAATTCTAGCCGGTATGACTTTTCGCGCACTTTATTCCCCACTTCATTCCAAGGAGATAGAGAAAAATAATGCGGAGTAATTTAATGGAATTCACGTCGAGGACGAGCGCGCTATTTGGCGAGTCCGCATGGGAGGGGTCGTTATTAAGGGATACAAAAAAGGAAAGAGAAAAGAAAAAAAAAGAAACACGTGCGCAGGAAGGGCGCGAGAATTCCTCGGAGCGAGGTTTGACGAGCCTCTAAAAATAAGAGCTCTCCGGCGGGGCCCTCGAGACGTCGGGGAACATCCGGAGCCTCTTTGGACTTCTTTGTCCCGGCTCGACCTTGACTCGTTTGGGCGCCGCCGGCTAGCCTTGGCATTTTTTCCCCGAGGAGGATTCTTTTGGATATCTCACGCCATGTTCCAATACCCTGGCTTGACTGTATGATTTAAAAATCTTTTTTTACTTTTCTCTTTCAGGACGACAGCGCGACGAAACCGGCGGAATCGGGAGACGCCGACGCGGCCGCGATGGCGAAGGAGGGCGAGAACCCTGCGGAGAAGCCTACGACCCCGGCGAAGGACTCCAAGGAGAAGGAGGCACGCAAAGGGATCCTCGACGCCATCAGACTCCCCCTGGTCTCCGTCTTCCCCAGGAAGAAGAACAAGGTAATTGCGAGCTGGCCAGAGTTACGTCCAGTCTTCGCTTTTATAGCCAACGGGAGAGTCGATCGTCGAGCCGGATGCGGCTGAAGAGGGTGAAACCTAAACCTGCACCCTCGACGATGCCCAAGGTTTCCTCGGCTTTTCCGAAGCCTTACGAAGGCCGAGAAAAAGAGAGGAAGAGGAAGGAAGCGGGGAGAGAGAAAAGAGGAAACCCTCTCTCCGTGGAGTATATCGCCTTCCGGAAGTACTACGGGGTCAACCGGGAGTGGGTTTCGCCGGAGAGAGGAGTACCTCGATCCACTTTTCCCTGAATGAGACTTCCACGAGACACTTTCCCCGGGCTCCTGTTCGCTTCCGGTGTGGATCTCCATGGAAAGAGGATACCTAATATGAAGATCCTCTTCTAATGTCGGTAATTCCGACCATGCTTTCTCCTAGGACATTGTCTCCTACTCGTGGATCCTTCATCGAGAATAAGGGGTTTACTGGCACTGGACCATCGCACCCGGGATACGACCTGGACGTCGTAAACCGGGTTACGAGCGTTTCCATAAGTCGTATCCCGCCGTTCATGGGGTTTGCGCGTATCCTTTCCCCACCGACTTCTTGTAGGCTCGCTTCTTCTTGTCCTCCGCGACCGGCTCTTCGTCACGTACTCCGGCTTCCCACGGGCTTTCTTCGTCGGCGCCACTTCTGCCCCCGTTCCTTCTGCCGGGGAACTCGAAGACCCCCTCTCAGCCTCCGAGATACGGCACGGACCACTCGGTCTTCCTCCTTCTTCTTTTCCTCTCTTCCGCCTCCCTTCGTCTCAGTGCCTTCGAAGCTGCACGCGTGGGATACGCGTGTACACCTTTTGTAATCCGAACTGCCGCGGCCTTGCAGTTCTTGCTGGTCGCTCGAGCCGGCAGCTTCGCTCTTCAGGGCCCATTCACTTCGAGGGAGGATAGCCGACCTAGGAGATGGGCAAGAAGAGCATCTACATCAGCAGCTTCGTCGGCAGAGGGTTGTTCCCGGAGGTGAGGGCGAGCCCTGGAGAGGAACGGCAAGATGCCTTGCAGAGTGTGACGGGCTCAACTGTTTCCCAGGATTTTTTTCAAGATTTTTCAGGACATGTTCGGCACCTCTTGGAGAAGAGGTCACTGGATGCTGCGTCGCTGATTCTCCTGGCGTTCGCCATGAATTAAAATTGGAATCTTTGCAATTAACGTGATCACCCCTCTTTCGGTTCTCCAGGAAGGAGACGCCGAGCTGGGGACCACGGGGACCGCCGGCCTCGCCAGCGTGGAGACCCTGGACGAGGGTGCCGAGAAGAACGCGGCAGCCGTCGACGGGGACGGCATGGAGACCGTGCGCTTGGACGGCGACAACACCGACAATGCGGCGCCCCCGAAGCAACACCCCTTCGTCGTCTGCCTTTCCACTCTCAGGAGAAACATACTAGTTTCCGGTGGGTGGATCTCCAGTTTCCGGGAGAACGAGCACGGTCCTCGTATATACGTTACGTACCCTCGGGTGCTCTCCGGTTGAGATAACCTCCTCCGTAAAATCGGACCACCTGGACTCGACGAAAGCACGAGGTGCGAACTTGGTATTCTAATCGACCCGACTTTTCCAGTTGCGACGTTCTGCATCCTGCTGACCATCATCGTCATCATCTTCGTGGCCTGTGCCGGGCCTAGAAGAGTGGCCCAGCCCCTGAAAGATGGCAAGTACGTGGAAGCCGTGACTTCTTGCGGTCCTGTCCAGGGCGTCCTGGAGGACGGCGCCTTCGCCTTCAGAGGAGTTCCTTACGCCGTGCCTCCCGTCGAGCAAAGAAGGTCGGCACTTCTTTTTTTTTTTTTATCATCTTTCTCTAAGAGTATTTAAGTTCTCTCGAGGATTCGTTGGACTCTTGGGTCATCCTTTCAGGTGGTTGCCGGCCGAGCCGCTTCGCAGGATAGAGCACTGTTGGACCGGTACATTCAACGCGCACAACGCGTCGGAGATGTGCTGGCAACGGGAGGCCTCTGGTCGCGTGGATGGCGTCGAAGACTGCCTCTATTTGGACGTGTTCACGCCCCACGTCCGCTACGACTCGCCACTCCCCGTGGTGGTGATGATCGGCGCCGAAACGCTCAGCGGAGCTTCCCCGGGAGTCATGCAGCCCTCCGCAAAACTGGCGCGCGTCCGGGAGATGGTCTTCGTGCGACCTAACTTCAGGTGAGGTTTAACGACGCGTCATGAACCGAGAGATTAATTAAATTCCTTGGGGAGGGTTGACGGGAAGATCGCGAAGGTGGTCACGATTTTCTTTCGATTCCAGATTGGGGGTTTTCGGGTTTCTCGCGGTCGAGCCCCTCTCCAGGGCGACCCATCCTCCCACTTCTGGGAACTATGGACTCTCCGACATCGTCGCGGCTCTTCAGTGGGTGCAGCTGAATATCGAGAACTTCGGGGGTGACAAGAAATCGGTGACCCTCTGGGGCCACCGAGCCGGTGGCACGCTGGTGACCAGCCTGGTGGGTGCGCGGCGCTCCAAGGGCCTCTTCTCCAGGGCTTGGGTGTCCAGCGGAAGCGCCATCTTCCCCGGCAAGGAGCTGGAGAAGTCGGAGAAGCTCAGCGAGCAGTTCCTCTCGGCCATCAAATGCAGCGACGCTTCTTGCCTGAGGAGCCAGACCGCCGAGGACCTGATGGACGCGGTGCCCGACTCCTGGCACGCGGGGAACGTCGGATTGCCCGAGCCCAGGGAGGCCACCAACGATAAGAGGCACGAGTGGCTCGTCCTGGACGGGGCGATCCTGCAGGAGCACGTGGGTCAGGCCTGGGTAAGGGACGGCCTCCCGGTGAAGCTGGTCATCGGTACCACCGCCCACGCCGGCGTTCCCGTTCGCTACCGGACCCCCAACACCACCCTGGAGGCTCCGCAAGTCGAGAAACTCGTGAAGGAGTCTCTCCTGGGCACCATGGGACTCGCCGACGAGGCTCTCAGGTAGTCCTTGAAATACTTGTAACCAGGTCTCGCTGCGGCATCGTCGTCCAGAGGATTAAGATTAACACCTGTTTCTCTTTTTTATTTCCCCCCAGGCGGTACAACGGCACTCTTAAAGGTCTCGTCACCATGATCTCGGACATCCGCGTGGTGTGCCCCTTGCTGACCCTGGCCACCCAACAGCCGAACATCCCGTTCTACGTGGTGACCCAGGCGAGGGGGAACCCTGCCTTCGCGGACCCCGACAGCGACGCCGCCGCCATCCTGGGATCTTACGCCGCCAAGACGCCCGAGGAGAAGAGACACTTGTCAGCGATACAGCAGCTCTTCAACCACTACGTTTGGCATGGCGAGGTCGCCCAGGCTGACCCCAAGGGCGCGAAGAGGGTCCTCATGGTCGGCCAGGACGTCCTCCAGGAACACGATTACCCCAACTGCGACTTCTGGATACAGAAGAACATCGTGCCCACCTACGCGAGGATCGATTAAGGGACTCGCGCATCCCGGGCGGGTCGCACGCGATTCGACACCCTGGAAGTCGGATGAAGCCGCGCGAATTCCTGGTTTCCTTGTGTCTCGTCGTATCTTTTTTCTTTCCCCGTACCTTACGTTCGATTGCGCGGAACTGCGCGAACGTGACTCCCGGGTCGGGGGAGGAGATACCCGGACTGCAGCTCTTATCTTATCGGTCTGCTTTTTTGTCTCTCGGTTCGATTACGGAGAAGCGCCCGGGGGTCATCCTTGATATCTGAATCCTTGAATTTCCGTACGACCCTGACGAAGTCGGGTCTCTTTGTAGATGGCTTTGTCCAACTTCTCTGTGGGGAGGTCGCAGGGAGGGTACCGTTTAATCACTTAAGTAGCTGGATAATGGATGTCTAATGAGATTATTAACGAGATACAATAAGCGATCCGACTTTCGAGGGCGTCAGGCTCGACGGAGCTCAAGAGTGGACGTCCTGGGGATACCTTGAAACCGGTAAACGACGTAAGGACTCGGTTGGATTTTCTTTTTTTTTTTTTCGTATTCGCTTTAGCGAGAAACGCGCACTTGGTCGAGGTTGGCCGAAAGGATTCGAACTCGGAGAGTCTTGCACCTTGCGCGACGTCGAGCTCGAGGAAGCCCACCGTCGAGGAGGCGAGCGAGATTAATGTTAATAGCGGAAAGAGTGTCTATAGACGTGCGTACTGCGGGTCCGCGGGATAAAACGATAATATGTATGTGTATAAATGTGAATCAAATTGTAATATATTGCGTGAGGGCAGGTAGAGAGGAAGGCGAGGACCTCTCCGCTCTGCTTGAAACCTCCGAATGAAGAGCGAGGAACGAATCGCAGAATTAGGCTGAGGAATAAATTGCCCCCGTTTTTTCGGCGTAACTTTACGTTAAGAACGGCGGCAATAAGGTGTTCACCTTATTCCTCAATTGAGTGAAAATCCGAGACGAGGGAACTCGCTTTCATGCGGACTTTTCAAGCGAGAGGAGGAACGGCCAGAGAGAGAGAGGGATAGGAGAAAATGAGAGCCGTAGCGAGAAGCATTAGTTTAGGAGAGACAGAGCGAATATCGACCGTGCATATATATATATATTATATATTACGATATATTCTTGTAAGGTGTGAGCTACGAGGGTGCGAGCCAGAGGTCCGAGGTCGGACTTTCGAAGAGCGGCTCCAAGAATCTCAGAAATTATTCAGAGGCAGGATATCGACGTTTTGGCAGCCTCCGAAGGGCGATATATCCTCCCTCTTGCTCGCACTCCGCTCTTAAGCTTACGGTAGTCCTTAGGAAGTTACAAGATACGTTTCATTTAGAGCTATATGAACGAAAGGAGGTTCCTCGAGCGACGAGCGACTCTTGGAGATTTTAGCGTTAATCGTGGGAAGAAATACTCCCGCGAGGATTTTCTACTGTACCGTGATATACATATACATAGGGATAGGTCAGGTCTGCGGGCGACGAAACCGATATCGAAGACGTAGATTTTTTACGGGGACTTTTTCTACCGCGGGACTTTTTCCTTTTTTTACCGAATAATTTAAGGCCGAACGTAGGTAGACTCGAGATCGATTCGAGGGATTGGACGCATTCGATTGCGACCGCTGTAATTTCCACCATTCCCCCGACACTCTGCGTGATAATGCTGCCGATTATAAGACGATTCCACGTCTGTAATTAATGCCTGTAATTAATTAACCACGGTCGCAATCGAAACGTCCATCTTCGTCGCTCAATCCAAGCCATCCTCGCGACTGGAGGACGTCATTCAGACTGAAGGGAAAACCGATCAGTATTTTCGACCGAATTTGGTCGAGCGACGAAATACTTTTAACAGACTGATACCAAATCTGGTATTTTATATGCATGTACTTTTCTCCAATTTTTATATATATATTTTTTTTTTGCCTTTTACAGCGTCAATGTCACTCCTGTCAGAGAGGACGAAGCGCGCTCCTTGAGATGGAAGGTAGGAGCTTCCAGTTTCCCGAAAAAGCCTTAAAACCTCTCAGGTAAACCGACAAAAAGTCTGGTCCAAAACGAAAGAGAACGAGGGCTCTCCTCTAGGGAGGCTCGGAGGGTTTTTTTTTTCTTTCTTTCTAAAAACCATTTTTCGCGCCCGCCATTTTGAGAGAGGCGCGCCATCGTGAGTGCTCGATTTTTATTCTTGTTTTTTTTTTTTTTTTTTAACGAAATATAAGCCCGCAGACGTGATCGCGAAATCGGACACTTCGGCAATGCCGGAAACCCTGCCACCTTCGTTTACATCTGCCCCATAATCATGCTTAATCGCTAATCCCGATTTATATTAACGTAATCGTTACGTCGCTAAGTGGATTAATTTATTTTCACGGAGATGTGATAAATTAGTATTTATAGCGGCGACTCGCGTCGACTCCCTGTAACTAGTTTACCGCATTGCGATTATTAGTTATGATTAGATATCATTATTACAATTAATATATATATATATAATTAATCTTAGACTGTAATATACTATACTGTGTAATGAAGAGTAGCGAGTGGGACGGCAGAGCGATCTCGAACCACGTATGACGGATTATTCTTAGGCGATTATGGAGGCAAATAGTTTTGCATCGGTATGGTTACGATTAGGGACGATGCACCTTTTTTTTTTTCTTTTTTTAATTTTTAACACTCGGTTCGTTTTATCTCATTTTATTCGCGTTACTATTGTGGTCGCGGATTTAGCAGGGTACTCGGCGGTCACTTTATTCCTGCACGCATATTGCCTTTGCTAGACACGAGTGAGAACGCACCTTATATATATGTACGTCTTTAGCCCCGAGATAATGATTTTTAACATTTAATCGCGTTAAATGACCAGGTCTTACGCCGTTGGGAAATTACGTTTTATCGCGACGAGGTCTCGCGTTAATTCGGTGCGATCGTTCCGAGGGTACGATCGGTTCTTTTTTTTTTTTCCCTCTACGTTTCTTTAAATTAAACCAGATCTTTTATTGCCACCGCGCGTATTGTGCTATTCTAATTTTATTGTATACACTGTGCCGTCAATAAAGTTGTATAATCGGATAGTAACTTGGGGGCATTTTTGTAGTACTCGTCGCAGAGGGGAAAATTATCAAGGATGCTGCAACGTCGACGAGGGTGTCACCTTTGTTACGATCATTTAATAAAAAGGGGCAACTCGCGTTGTACAGTGTGATAAATAATTGTCAGTAGTAACGATGACATTATTATTACCGAGATATTGTTTGCCGTTGAGTCGTTGCAAGGTACGCTACCATTTCGTGATCTACAGGCGCAAACTTCTACGGTGTGTCCTCTTATCTGTAAGATTATTAATTTGAATTTAAAAGGGGATTGATAGTATTCGAGTACGTCCTTAATGAATGGTAGAAGGTGTAGTAGTAAATAATGAGGAATGTCACCTGTTGCGAGTAACATCCAGAAGTAACTGCTGTTGTGGTATCCTCGATCATTTTCCCACAAAAATGCGTGCTGTTGAGTACTAGGAATAAATGGAGAATATAATGTAAATTAGGGATTGGTCGGGGGACAGAACTTACCAGCATTGTTATAAGTGTAACTGTATTTTAGACAGACGTATCCATTCTTCAGGGGACAACCGATCATCGAATGATTCAAGTGACTCCACATGTAGGTTATATTTGGTGGTGTCGAATCCTCTGAACATAAAGGAAAAAAAGAAAATGGGTAAAGCAAGGATCGAAATAGTTATCGATTCATTGAACACTCACCGGTTACTATGTATGGTTCTACGCATGGTACTCCGACAAACCCTGAACAGTTGACTTTGACAGCGGAGTGACTGTTATGCATCGGTCCGAGCCATGTAAACTGGAGACAGTAAGGACTGCTGTCATTTGCAACAATCAGATTTCCTGTAAGTGTCGAAGAAAATATTAAGTTTCAACGTAACGATGCAAGTAACGAACTACTTGTTTTTCTGCGTACCTTTAGAAGATACTACGAAGCAAAGCCAGAGAAACACTGTGCACTGTCTTCTCATCGTTTCGCGTTTGATTCATCGCCTTCACCTTCCAGTAAGTAATATCTTTGCTTATCTGATAGTCGCTACGACCGTCATACTAATTTTTGATAACGTTGCACGTTATCAATTCGTATATAGCCGGAAGTGGTATGTAATTACATTTCGATCGTTTTACAAGTGATTAACCTTCGCATATAATAAATATAGTGAGATTTTATTTACGACAAAAATGCACATTCTAGTAGAAGTTGACGATAAATTTAAAGGAAAAACTGTTAAGCACTTAAGGACGTTACGAAATCAGTATTAACGTACGGTAAACGACACTTACATAATATTGTCAAGTACACAAGTATAATCTAAACGGTAAATGCAGTGAGAATACTAGCAAAATGTCTATGGCTGCTCTTAGGTGTACCACATTATAAATATATAAAAATCTTGTTCATTTAAAGCTGTATAATGGTTTAAAATTCATCGTGCCTTGCCAATGCTTCACCAAAATCTGTGGCTTGAGACCCAACGAAAATATCGTATTTCTCTAATATCTCTTCTTTTGTAAGTTTTTGGTCCGCATCCATATCGGCTTCAAAGATCAAGTGTCGAGATTCTGCTTCCGCGTGATCGAAGTCTACAGGAATTATCCAATTTTTTACCTGTTATGGCAAGTAACAAATTGATTAGAAATTAAGACAAGGGACAACATAGGATTATGGCACGTCGTTATAAACTTTAAATGGCATACTTCCTCGTTGTTCAAGAAACCATCTCCGTCCTTGTCTCTATACGAAGAGAACTGCTCCTTTTCGTTCTTCACCCATTCTGGCTCCTCTTCTTCCCCACCTTTGTACATATCCCCTACGCACATTGGAAATATCAAATTAAGCCCTTCTTCTTAAATGTACAAATTACATTCATACCCACCAATGTACTCCGAGAGAGATATTTTTCCATCGGTGTCCTTATCGATATCTTCCATTGTTTCCAAAACAACGACATCTCTCATATGCTCCGTTTCCTCAGGATGAAGGAAGGCGGTAAATTCTTCTTTGGTCAAGGCGTCGTCTCCATCCTTGTCGGCGACCGACCACCTTCTCCGGTCCCTTTTCAACATAATCGCATACGAGAAATTCTCATCGTCGGGCTTATCCAGACTCTCCGCCTCCTTGTCGTCAACAAAACCATAGACTATCTTGCGATACTCGCTCCATGCCAACGTATCCTTATCATCAGGATTATGAGACTTCCACTGACGCTCGACGTCGTCTCTAATATAACGCTGTTGCGTGTACTTGATCCAATCCTTCAACTCCTCCTGGGTGACAAAGCCATCCTTATCCTTGTCGATCTTGTCGACGATCAATCCCAGCCTTCTCGTACTTTCTTCCGGACTAAGCTGGTCGAACGTCTTCGCATCTTCCCCGAGAAAGGCTTCGTGATCGTATTCGGGGTTGTGTTGGGAGTGTATGAAGTGTTCCTGTTTGCTCAGTTCCTATACCAAAGAATATTTATCTTAATATTCGCTTCAAGCTTTCCACGGTATTATCAACATATCTAAGTTCCTCCAGGAACGAGAGACATTTCCCTTACCGCATCCAACACTCTCGTAGACTTGTGGTCCTCCTCGGGCTTGGGAATTGCCTGAGCGAGGACGATCGCGAGGAGGATCCCCAGGAAGGCGAAACGACACATCTTCGGTGGCGACTAACTGGCAAATCTCGTCGCGGTCCGGTCGCCACTCTCTTCCCTTCTATCCCTCTTCTTAATATAGACACGCGAGTCGACCGAAGGACTCAGCTACGGCAACTCTACTCACAATCCGGAAAGCCTCCTCGCTATCGCTAGCTTCTCCAGCTTCCACATCATCAGAATCTCTAGCCTCTTGCACTCCGCCACCGACTGTCGACGCACGCCCCCACTAACTACCACATTAACTGCAGCCAGTCGGTGATGCGTGTATGCACTTGTCGCGACACGCGATAAGCCTCCTGTGTTGCCGATTTGCCTGGAATTCCCGCCGCGTCTCTTCCTAACCTGCAAAAATGCGAATCGCGGACATCGAATCCATCACATGACTAAACTGCCTCCTCTTATTAGCTCTTTCCCTTAGCTCCGACCAACGGCGGGCAATCGTTTAATTCAAACCATAAAAAGACGTCTCCGTTCGTTACCTACTGTTTCTTTGATAAAAAGTACCAGCTACGGATCTGTAACCGGAAAAATATATATGGCGCTCGAAGATCTTTCTTTCAGTCGATACTCAGTATTGACTTCTATATAATTACACAAGAATTTTCTAAAGATTCGATGAATAGTCTTGTTGGATGAATTTAAATGTTGTTGTTTTATTAATAATATTGTTCTGTTATAGATTATATGGCGTTAAAGTCCTCGGTGGACATTGACTTCTGATAATGAAAAGGGGTACCCCACACGAGTCTGTGATCGGAAATAGCTCTCCTATTTTTAACTTTAGACAAAAAGTAGCCGATGTTGGTATGGATAGCTGGTGAAACGTCGTTAAATGTGCCGACTTCCCTTCGCTTAAAATATCACTGGCCATGATTAGTCGCAGATTGTCGTACGGTTTTCTAAATGGATGGAAATTGTTTATATACTTTCAGGTGAATACGATTGTACGAAAGGTCCCCATTAACGTAGAATAGTGATTCATTCTTTGATAAACCTGGGGAAACGAGTCATGCTTTATCTAGGGCGTGCTTATCCTGTTATCTCCTGGTTTCCAGCGATAAAGAACTGGTGGCCGCCCATGTACCTGTCGTCCGCTATGATCGTCTCTTCGGCTGGATCGCGATCAGCATTCCTGGTGTTCCCATCATTTTCTGCGACGTATTCGAGTTTCTAAACGCCGAAATGGCTGCGAAGGGTCAGCTGGAACACGTGGAGGTCCTAAAGTTCATTATATTCTGCTTCAACACTATAATATGGGTGAGTCTGAAGTTAATGCGCGACAAATTATCTTTGTTATACCTTTGTGACTCCCATGAGTTGAAAGAGAAAAAGAGAGGGTTGTACCATGTTATTTGCACTTCGATTAAGAGAATTATGATACTTGCAGCTCCTTGCTTGCGGAATGTTTGGACTGTCCATCTGGCTGAGAATGGAACCAGGATTCGAAGAGTGGGTTGGCTTCCTGGATTTGTGGGACTTCTATATAGGCATCTATATCCTCATCGCTGTTGCAGTGGCTATCATGGCGATCTCCTTCGCAGGCTGCGCAGCTACGTTGGCTGAAAATGTCCTGGCACTTTACATCGTACGTACCGATCAGCTAGAACTTCCTATTATGTAGTATTTTACCTGTGACGTCAACATAGAATTAACGTAACACGACTTAAGTGGAAATCTCTTCGATCGCAGCACATTGGTGCGCAGCTGTTTTGCTTTGTGTGCGGCTTAGCTGGTGCAGCAGTTCTACTGGATTATTCAACTTATGACAGCAAGATTCAGCCAATCATAAGAAGATCGATGACTTCCTTAATTGTTAATTCGCACCATGAAGATGCTTCGACCATTCTCAGAATTGTTCAGGAAAATGTGCGTACCCTTTTATTGTCGACAAATAATATCTCCGTTGATATGGTTGATATATTTCTTTAATTTTGCTGTTTACATATTTTCAGATTGGATGCTGCGGAGCAGATGGTCCTATGGACTATTTGACGTTATTAAAGCCCCTTCCAACCGAATGTAGAGATACGGTGACAGGAAATGCTTTCTTCCATGGCTGCGTCGAAGAACTCACATGGTTTCTAGAGGCTCGATCAGGATGGCTAGCTGGAGTAGCACTGGCGTTATGCATGCTTCACGTAAGACAATATTTTATTATCTTAAATTTTTATCCAATATTTCTAGATTAAAAAATGTTAATCGTGATGTCAAATTTCATCCCAAAACAATGATGTTACAGGTAGTGCAGGCAGTTCTATCCCTCATCTTGATTCAGGCTCTTCAGAAGGAAAAAAAACTCGCTATGTATAAGCATTAATTATAAGAGTAACATTACTACCGAATAGCTTTTAGAAGAGGCAAAATTATTCAGCGTCATTCTATTCACCGTATTAACATAAACATTTATTTAATGAATTCATAAACTTCCTAAGCAGCCTTCTCATTAAATGATAAGCGCATCGCATTCGACTGTGGAATTATACCATATCGCGGCGCTTAGGAGAAATAAATTCAGATTTCGCTCTCAATGATGGTTCCAAAGAAATTCCAGAGAGTAGCAGAGGGAATCCATGCCGTGGATTTTACATCGAGCTCCTAGGAGTTGGCCGGATACTCTTCGAGATCCCAAGCTGAAGAAACGAGAGAAGAAGCTGATGACATGACTGGACAATTTGTTAATATTCTTTCAAACGAGCTCGAGAACTTATGTACTTGCGCTACTTGTATAATAAACTGTAAAATAATTAGGGTAATAAAGCAAGTTATTGACTAATAACAATGAATATGTTTAATTAGACGAGCATGTCTAGCGAACCCTCTAGAAAAATTGCGATAAGTCGTGGGACGTCGCGGGAAGGTGTTTCTGTGCCACCTCCTCGGTTATCCTATAAAGTCCCGTAGTGTCCCGTAGTGTCCCGTAGAGTCCCGTAGTGTCCCGTAGTGTCCCGTAG